GTACGTATGTATGTAAACACATGCACATCTACTACCACATGCTTGCACATGTACATACGTTTATGCAGCATGTACGTAGCACCTTGGTCGGCTATCGATGGCTTGGTAGGTTGGGCTATACCTTCGTACCAGCCTCTACTTCACACTGGTCAGCCGCGGATTCGGCAACTAGAAACGCGCGGATTCGGAAACTGGAAAACCCTGATTACCTGATTCAGGAAACTGGAAAACGCAGATTCGGAAACTGCGGATTGGAGGAGCCGGATTCGTGGACTCGGAAAGAGCTGGTTCAGGGGTCCTCAGAACGGTCGTCATCACATTTCTCTCGGCTCAGATTCATGGCTAAAAGCTCGCGATCTTGCAATTTCAGATTTTGGGGCCAAGGTTCTGTTTAGGGCTTATGGCGTCACAAAGCGGCCTTGTCCTGGACGCTATCATCCCCCCCCCCCCCGACATTTCAACAGGCCCGAACCGCGCGGCTTCCTGAATCGCGTGGTTTCCTGAATCGCGCAGTTTCCTGATTCGCGCAGTTTCCTGAATCGTGTGGTTTCCTGTGAATCGCGTGTTTTCAGTTTCAATCGCGTCAAAACAGTTTCCTGAATCGCGCAGTTTCCTGAATCCTGGTTTCCTGAATCGCTCAGCTTCCTGAATCCTAGTTTCCTGAACCCTGGTTTCCTGAATCGCGTCCAGTTTCTGAATCGCGCATGGTTCACACTATTCGCCCCCCGCCCCGGCGCACGCTTTTTGGTTCTGTCTGCTTGCGCATCGTAAGTTGAACTGGACGTGCTTGGGATTCAATTTGGTCTGATATGTTTCTGTTTGTGCAAAGCTTCAAACAACCGGCCGTTCAAAACGAGGCACCTTTCAACAGCATTTCTTTCAGCAAGGCCAAAACTAGGTAAAGCCAGATTCAAACCTCTGCTGAAAAGGCGATAAAGAGAAACACAGTTGTGATGGGCCCATCTATCCGTCTTTGGACTGCCTTCCTCAGGATTGGCAGACTGTCCGTGTCTATTGAGTGCACAGCAGGGGTCCCGTCAAGCAATTATTGGGTGTTTCTGGCCGTTAACAAAAATGTGCCATGGAATGTGTCCTCCTTGCATGCAGTGAGAGAGCCTAGCCTGACTATGTGTGGTCGCTTGAGGAATGAGATTTTCACAAGTTGAAGTTTCACAAAGTCTCACAAATAACACGTTAAAGCCCATGGCTTTTCGGCCGACGGACAGAAAGATGCATGCACACATATGTTGAGCATAAGTCCCAGGCACACGCTTATCATGTTGCTTCCTCGTGCGAGAGTGGAGCACAATAGCTGAAACAAGGAATTTAGCTTCCAATTAAGCAAGGAGTTTAGTTGAACGGTGGAAGCTTGAAACGGAAAGTCCCGTGCACCTAGATTTCACCAGACCGAACCAAACAGTGCCATCCGTGCCGCCCATGTTGTTGACAACATCACTCGCATTCTAGTGGTGGTGGTTGGCCGCCGGCTTGTTTCTGTGAGGGTGTGGCGGGAGTCAGGTATGCCTACAAGTCGCAATAGTCTGCAGCTTTCTGCTGACTTGTCAATGTCCGGACTCTGCAAAGTCTGCGAAAGCGCTGCAGGCACCTAGCTACAAAACAGGAACGTGATACAAAGAGAGGGGCTGTCCAGAACGATGAGTTCACGGACAACCGTAACAGTAGCAACTTCCAGAGGAAATGCTCAGGAACTCGTGTGGCCACGATCTATGCACATGCTCTGCACAGACGTATGTACAGGTCAGATGGCACTTTGAGTGAGAATGCTTTTCCACTTCTGAACACGTGGCAAGCAAGAGCGCGTCTGCGTTGCGACAATCGTCATCACGTGCCCTAGTTCAGCATTACAACAGCAGCCGCTCTTGGTCGAGAACGCATATGGCATAAGCTCCTCACTGCTACCATCACTGTCTTGACTTGGCTTGTGACGACCGCCCGTCCGGAATCATTGGAGCGAGAGGAAAATGAGGGCTGGGAAACATTGAGAGAGAAAATGAGAAACAAGAACAGCGTGAGAAAACAGAGGAGGCAGCGCAGAATATGGCAACAGAAAACAGAACCACAATCAGAGACGCTTGCTGTTTCACTGTCCTACAGACTGTGATGCTCACAGACAGGAGGCTGGTGAGGCTGTGCAGTTCACATCTGCTTGATCTCTCATGTATTCTTATCGCTTTGGGCCTGAAATGTTTCTGTCTCACAGCTTTCTGTTAAATATCTCAAATATCTCTCGCTTGATGGTGTTGCCATCCTGCCTGCTTACAACCAATCATGCTGCTGCTCATCAGTCAATCCGAGACATGGATGTCACAAGACTTCGCACGATAACATGCATCACATTTTTGAGTCCAACACCCCCCCACCCCGCTTTCGAAGGGGTAAGCGTGCCTCGTTACGTTCTAAATGACCGTATTGGGGCAGTATTAGGGTGTGCTATGGTGCGCTCATGCCGTCTTGAAAGAAAGCACTGTTTCGCAAGGAGAAAAACCCTCCAAATGCTCACTTAACCGAGGCAGCGATTGCTTCAAGAACGTACAAACACGAAAATGAGCCCAACACGAACGCATAAGGATTTCGTTGAACAAGAGACGGGCCATGTAAGCAAAACATGCACACCTAGGCGAACGTATGCAGCATTTGCATACTTTGGATGACCTGGGGCACTTGTGAGACACTAAGCCCAGGACTTGAAGATGCTGTCGGATCTGTGCCTCTGGCTTAGCGCACGCGTCTCGGAGGTCAGGAACACACCTGAAAGACCCTGAGCTCAGGACTGGAAGATGACGGGTCTTCAGCTTGTGCTGCTGCCTCCTGCCGCAAGAATAAAGTGCACAAGTAAAGCGAACCCAGGGCAAGTTCAATCAAGCGGCTTGCAGGGTAAACGCGATGTCGTCCATCAGCATTTGGAAATCATCATCGAAGTCGAGAGTATGATCCTTGGATGGAGAGCAAGGTCAACCCAACGTCCCATCCCTTCCAGCACCGACGAAACTTCAGCAGGGTGGCAGCTCCTGGCATCGTCACTGCTGGAGGAGCGCCTCCTGCAATGCCAGCCAACCATGTCAGGCCACTCTGGATCCACGGTGTCCACGCCTGCATTTGCGGACGCGGGCAATTTCAGCAAGCATGGAAGGCTTGTCCGCTCACACTCGTCCGAGAACTTCAACCAAGTGACTGAGCTCGAACTTGCAGAAGCCGCTGGTGTCACCTCAATCTGGCGCCGGCCGCACTGACCCGCTGCCCTCTGATGATGATTTCCAAAGCTTGTTGGACGACATATGATTTACCCTGCAAGCCGGCTCGGCTGCTTGATTGAACTTGCCCTGTGTTCACTTTACTTGTGCACTTTATTCTTGCGGCAGGAAGCAGCAGCACAAGCTGAAGACAAGTCATCTTCATCCCCAAACACGATTCAATTCCACAAGGAAGCATGGAGAACGGATCCCGCACAGCATGCCATCTCAGCACCACTCCAACGCAGTAGCCCGAGATAGCCCGAGGGCGATAATCGACAGACCAGACCGGTAGCCTATTTCCTGGGTAACGCGACTTCAGATGATATTCAAAGTCCCACAGGTACCTTTCGTCTTTACGGAAGCTTTGCCACATTCCCAAACCCAAATCCTTACCGACACTTGTTCAGCAATGCTTCCACCGGAGGGTGCTGTAAGGGGCTCGCCGAGGATGAGAATGGGCTGGCAATGCACCGATCAAACCTCAGCCGTCGAAACAAGCAGATTGGACAACATGTGAAGGGTGTTGGGGCACCCGGCGCTCCACCTTGCATGCTCAGCACACCTTCCTTGCAACGGTTCAGACTGTCCCAGCAATGTTGATAGGCCACATTCACAAAACACTGCCAGGATGATACGCAAAAGGACTCGAGGTGGAAACGCCTGGGAGGAAAAGAAGACCAACGCGATCACGATCAACATTGCCTCAAGGTCTGAAAATATCTTTCTGTCATTTGGCATGAAAGCGAATGCTGCTCAAGGACACGTGGCTGGCTCTAGACTCTAGACAAAAACTAACCCAGGCGATGTCTGCCGTCCATGCGCCACGACCAATCGCCCCAGCAAGGCCATGACCAAGCGAATCGACAAACTAAGTGCCAGACCGAGGGGGGAGGTGAGTCGCAGCGGGAAGTCGCGGCGGGTGGGATGCTTGCTTGATGCCGCACACGCAGACACAATCAAGATCTTGTTCATGCGCCAATCATACCAAGACCAAGACTATGAGCCTTGCCGGTCGCAGAGCTAAAAAGGAAATGATTATAGTTATGAATGATCGCGAATCTATTGCCATGGTTGCCATTCCACAGCAACTATGTTATTCATGTTGACATTCTAAAGTTTACTTCTACTTACACTGATTGCGATGCCGAAAAAACTTTAATTCTTGTGCAACGCACCCTTCTTTGCTACTGGACTGAAGTCTAGCCAGTGCGCAGCAACGCACCCTAAACCTCAAACCTTGCAAGGACAAAGCAGCTGACGGACCTGGGCCTCCAACCTAGAGTGAGCAATGCTCAGGAGGTACCTAGTACCTGGTGTGCGTTTCTGGCGAGATATTTCTGCCTAGGCTCAGGCCGGTATGCTGGTCTGTGCCAAATCAGCCGAGGCCTGATATATTAGACTTCAGGCTTCCTGGCGGCTGATTTGGGTCGAGTACTTCGTGCTGCTTTTCGTGGAAGCTAGCAGCGGGAAGCAAAGCCTCCAAATAGGATTCCTCGTTATTCCGTCGGTGGCTAGGCTAGCGGCTAGCAAGAGCCCCAGCACTGAAATTGGCATTATATAAGCCCTGCAATCCATGAAGAAGCCTGTCCTGCAGCCCCCAGTCACAAAGCAGGACTTGGTCTACGTTTTGGGCCCGTTGGAAAGGACCAGGCTTCGTAGCTTCCCCCACTTGCACAAGGCCTCCGTGGCAGAACAGAACGAAGCGGCGTCAATCCGCCTGCGTTGGCGAGGGCTTAGTTGCCTCGATCAAGGTGGCTGCAATGCAAGCAGGTGAGGTGGTAAACAGGCCGAGCCCAGCTGCAAACAACTCTCACGAAAGGCCTGTGGATCTTCACAGCCGGACAGAATGCAGGTGGTGTAATCCGAATCAGGTGGCTTCTCTGAATCTGGCTCGGCAAAGCTGGGGATCACACTCCCTTGAACGGCAGGATCTGCGCAGTGACAGGGATCAAGACAAGGGCCTGCTATCCTTTTCAGCAATGGCTTGTCGGCCTTCTCGGCTTTCTGAAGAAGCGAGGACGGATCCCCGAAGTAGGTAACGGACACGAAGGCTGTGGCGGCGACATCCAGGGGACAGGCTGACTGCATCTGAATCAGATCAATCTGCAGCACGGGTGAATCCCAGCAGCGAGTTGTTGGCTCGGCAAACGGCCGAAAAGGCGAACCCGGTGGTACACCGGGTTGACAGCATTTCAGCAAAGCATCTCTCAAGTCCAGGGCTCCCTCAATGCCCAACTCCACAGTCTGTGCCAACTCCATTTGCAGCGGTCCGAATCGGAAGTCCGTTTTCGAAAGCAGGCGAAAACGCAAGCCTCCATCCCTGAGCACGTCGTCGACAGTGACGAGAAAGGTCATCACGTCCCCGAAGCGCCAATTGCACTCCGGCATCCCGTGCAACTTGTCGCTCTCCATGAAATCTCCTCAGCCCGCTGATGGATGTGAAAGTCTTACAGTTACTTTGTAAGCGTTGGCCTCACCAGTGCTTATTAGTGCACAACGTGCAAACCATCAGGATATGTACACAAGACCTTGGCATACCTTGGCACTCCTGCATGTAGACCTCCGGTTCTCTGCTCCTTCAAACGAGGCTCGGTCTGCTTCTCCGTGGCACCAAGATGCTGAGCTGCGGCCGCTGCCGCGACAGGACGCCAGGCGCCGGCAAAGCAGGGATTTGGGCACCGTGGCAGAGCACCAACAGCCGGGCCCTGTCCTCAATCTGCACAGCTCTTGACGGCAACATCGCAACATCGGATCTAAGACTAAGACGAAGCACGCCGAAACAACTCTCTTCGAGGGCTCCTTGCCAACGCTGCGGAAGGGACGCGTGGCAGCTCCGAAGGCCCTGCCCTGTGAATACGCCGGCACCAAAGGTTGCCAAAGATTGCAACATCGATCGTCCATGACTACATGCCCGAATAGGAAATGGACGGCTCTGTCTAAAACATCGAGAGTCTAAACAGGCTAGACATTCGAGACTGGATCGAAAATACCCAGAAAACTTCCAGCTGCAGAAGCAAATCGCCTAGGGAGGCTACGGTCGCTACAGTAATGTCTTCACAATGCTGTCATTTGCCCCGGGCGACACACCACAGGCACGAGTTGCAGCAGGGTCATGTTGAAACAGGGCCATGGCCACTCTCTCTGGGGAGGGTGTTCCAGCACTCCACTCTGTGATAGCTACAAGCCTTAGTTCGAGACATAGGTCAGAATTCGATACTTTGGAGCACTGTCGATTCGCGGGCCTACGGCCCGCAGCTCTGAGGATCTTAGGGGCTCTAAAGTCTTTGCAAAAACGGGCTTTAGAGGAACTTTAAGAGCGCGCCACTTGCCAGCAGCTGACGAGCACTCGCCGGCAGCTTCCGAGCGACTTACACGGTCACAAGTCTTTCTAATGAACTACTCTAGACTCTAGCTGACTCTACCTGTAGCTTCCCGAGTCACTAGAAGCAGCGATACGAAAACATCTTTCGGATCAAACGCTTGAGCTGCCGCAGCAGCAGTGGGCCAAGGCGGCCAAGGTCACCATCTTCCGAGCCGGCCGTCATTGGGCATCTCTGCTACGTGGTTTTCGAAGCATGGAAGCCATCATTGCTAAGACCTGAAACTTGTCATTGTACCCTCCAACCTTATGTGCCAGGAAATCACATTTCGGGGGAGATAAGATCTTCTCACAAGCCTCTGGCAGTGAGATATGGCAAACTGTGCTGCAAGAGCTCTCCGAAACACAGTGCCATGATCAATTGAGCTACTCAGCTACTCAGTGTTTGGTTAACAACATCAGTGGTTAACAAGCGGCTCACAGCTCTCGCAATAATTGGCAGGTTCTGATGTGCATTGCACATTTCTAAGATCGTGGGCAAACTGCAGCTCGCATGCTTGCACGAAGTGTGGCACAAAGTTGCTTATCTGCTCCAGAAGCCAATGCTGGTCACGCTTGAGTCATGGCCGTAGCCTTGCGCCTGTCTTCAGTTCAGCTTGCGGACCACTTGCTCTGGGCACAGTTTTGCTGCAACAGCCATTTCCTAAACATTCTGGAAAGGAACTGCGTCCGGAGCCAATCCTGCAAAACTGCCTCCCAAAGCCCAGCACTTGGTGAGATAGCTAGAAGTCAGAGGTATTCTATGTCGTCCTCGGGTTGCCGAGTCTCAGAACCCAATGACTGCAGAAGACCTGAGACCCACAAGCAAGGACAAAGGGCCCTTATTGATGGCCACTGTCAAGCTGAGCCGCTTGCCTTTTCACTTTCTCTTGACCGTTGGCCTTCAGTGATGCGACGGTGCCGTAGATAGGAACAGCGGATATCTAAGGACAGCAACAACACCTGCCACTGCACCAAGTGCACCAAGCCAACGCATCAGATGGGCCTTGCCCCAGCCAGTTCGGTATTCCCTCTGCACTCAAAAGGAAACCGTGGGCAGCCGCAGCCGTAGCAGTAGTCGAAGACGTAGTAGTCGTCGTACTAGTAGCAGGAGTACGATTTGGTGCTACTTCTCGGTTTTTCCTGCTCGCGCCACTGCGGCTTCTGCTTATGCTACTCCTAGGGAAATGGACAACGTACTGCTGAGCCAACTGTCTACTCTATCTGTTATCCTCACCACGCCCTTCCGGAGTTCGCCAGGCGGCTTCAGGACGATGAACTTGCACATCAGCGTCCTGCCATGCGGCCGCCGTAAGATGGCATCAGGCTCCGTGCAGCTGGTGATGGTAAGAGTGGGCCATGGGCCGATCAATACAACTACAGTACAGCATGCAGTCGAGGTGCTCATCCAAAGTCATCATGGCCCCTGCATTGTCGAACTCGCCACAATAGTTCGGGGCGCTGAACAAGGTGACCTCGGCACTCCGCGCAGGAACCGAAGAACACTGTCTGGACAACCTGCCGAGCATGCAACGAGGTTTCTCTTGCCGAAAAACTCGTACCTCGTATTAGAGCAGGAGACACAAGCTCTTCGCAGATGCTGTGGTGACAAAGCCAACACTTTTGCCAGTGGTGCCCGTCTTCAACCACTTGGTGGGCTCGGCAGACGAGGTCAAGGTTGTATCGCTTCAGGAAAGCTGCAACGACGTCGGTCCTGGAGGCATCGCAAGCACTCGGCACTCACCACAACCATGACCGTATAACGCAACTTGATCTGGCAGGCCAGATTGTGCACAAACACACAAATGCCCGCAAGAGGTCCCAAACACATAGGAGACGCCACGGTCGTTCTCAGCCCAGCCGACGTAGTCCCTCCGAGGACTTTGTTGACAAGCTTCAAAACATTGACTACTCAGACTACTCGTGCATATCCGAAGTATCTATCCTGGTGCGCCTATCTGAATCTATTTCTCTTCTCTTGCTTGCTTACCTGCTCTGCTCTGCTTGCTAAGGCCAAGGGCTTGAGGCAGCAGCCCGTGCGTGCAAGCACGGGCCCTGCGTCTCGCAAAGGGTAGAGATTTTTGTTGGGCCCTTTTATTTTTTCGTTTGCCTTCTTTTGGTTGTGGGGGGGGGTTCTCTGTAGTTCAAGAGGAAAACCTCTATTTCCCCATTTGTTCAGAGGAAAGCCTTTGTCTCTATACTTTTATAGCAAAAGCTTCTTTTTGTCGGTGCCGAGTCACTTAGCCACTGCGAGTCCCCACCGTTTTGGGTCACTTAGCAATCAAATTGCAGGACCACTTGGCCAACTTCAGAACCTTGCCCCGCCTCCGGACCCCCCCCCCCCCCCCCGCCCCCCCCAAAAAATACAAACAAAGAGCGCACCCCCAGAATAGGTTCCTTCTCGCGAAGGTGCAAGCCTGAGCCCTCCGCCATTGTTTCTTTGAGCTTGTCGGCTCTTCTTCTCCCCATCCCGCTGCCGCTGCATCCTTGCCCGCTTGGCAAAAATTTCAAATTTTGGCCGGAAAGAGCAAAATCATTTCGCACCGTCATCGTCATCGAAATGAGCTGAAACTGCCACTGGGAGTGACATTGACCGGAAAACCTTTTGCCATCGGAGCCTGACCTTGCCCATTGGCAGAAGTACTCTGGCAAGGATAATCCTGGTAGTGTTCCGACGCTGTCCTGCCTGTCCGGATCTGACCACAGCCTGAGGTGAGGGCTACAACGGCTGCCACGGCTACCATGAAGCAGAAGCTTGAAAAGCTTGAAGCACTCAGACCCAGCACAGAGACCCGGACAGGTCACATATCAGGCCGGAGTCCGGCACGTCTGTGGGACGAACAATCTTCCGAATCTGGCAGACAAGACTCAGGAGTCCCAGGAGTCCCCCGGCTCCCTCTACTCTGCTACAAGATTTTACGCTACATAAGTCTATGATGACTTGGGATTGAGAGAGCATGGAGCAAGTGGCCTGATCGAAGTGCTGGAGCTCGGGCGAAAGGCCCCCGTGCATGCACATGACCTTCCTCAGACACAATCCCCTCAGTCTTGTGGAAGCTACACACAACTGAGAAGGCTGCAGGTCTCAAGGTAAACTCCCCAATGTAGGCGTTAAAACTGCTCAGCTCAGGCTGCGGCTCATCGACCAGGGCACTAACAGGCAGGCAGTTGAATACCTCAGTCGCTCAAACGCTTGTCCGCTTTTGAAACTCAAGCAGGCAAAGCAAGGGGCTGGCCCCACTCAGCACCGGGCATCGCAGAAACTCTTCCAAAGCTTGATGTTGAAGCGTCGCTTGCATTCATCATAAAACCCATAGATTCGCGTAATGGACGCGCTCTCATGGTTGCCACCTCAAGCGAGGCCACCAACTCTTCGCACATGGAAGTCAATGAATGTATCGGCTGCCCAGCTCATTGTGAGAATAGAGGTTAGAAGTGTCTGAGTGACATGTCGCAAATTCGACTCAATCATGTATTTACCCGAGGGCGCTGCGAAGCAAGAAAAAGTTTTCTTGATGTAGGGCCTCTCAGTGGGTGGCTTGCAGGGCAACGCTGGCTCGCAAATTGAGTGGCCAAAAAGCCGAGCGTGAGAAAGCAGGCCTTGTATGCAAAGAGGAGCACGATTGTCTCAAGGCTTTGCTTACCTTGCACACATCCCATGAGAATGCGATGCGGCTGCACTTGGACCCAGTATACGCCATGCACCTCGATCCACGTAGTCGCCAAGGAAGAGATAGTTGCTATTGGGCCTTGGGGGAATTTCGGGCGTGGTTTTTGTTCTTATTTTGTTTCCGTTTCCCAGGGGTAGGGGTAGGTAGGGGTAGGGGGCGAGGGGGTAGGGGTAGGGGTGGGGGTGGGGGTAGGGGTAGGGGTAGGGTCATAGTAGCAGTAGAAGTACTAGGGGTAGTAGTAGTAGCAGTAGTAGTAGTAGTAGTACTAGTAGTAGTAGTAGTAGTAGTAGTAGTAGTAGTAGTAGTAGTAGTAGTAGTAGTAGTAGTAGTAGTAGTAGTAGTAGTAGTAGGTGTAGTAGTAGTAGTTGTTGTTGTTGTTGTAGTAGTAGTAATAATGGTAGTAGTGGTAGTGGTAGTAGTGGTAGTAGTAGTAGTAGTACTAGTAGTACTAGTAGTAGTAGTAGTAGTAGTAGTAGTAGTAGTAGTAGTAGTAGTAGTAGTAGTAGTAGTAGTAGTAGTAGTAATAGTAGTAGTAGCAGTGGTAGTAGGTACTAGGTAGTAGGTAGTAGGTAGTAGGTGGTAGGTGGTAGGTGGTAGGTGGTAGGTAGTAGGTACTAGGTAGTAGGTAATAGGTAGTAGGTAGTAGGTAGTAGGTGGTAGTTAGTAGTAGTAGTAGTGGTAGTAGTAGCAGTAGCAGTAGCAGTAGTAGTGGTAGTAGTAGTAGTAGTAGTAGTAGTAGTAGTAGTAGTGGTAGTAGTAGTAGTAGTAGTAGTAGTAGTTAGTAGTTAGGAGTTAGGAGTTAGGAGTTAGGAGTTAGTAGTTCGTAGTTAGTAGTAGTAGTAGTAGTAGTAGTAGTAGTAGTAGTAGTAGTAGTAGTAGTAGTAGTAGTAGTAGTAGTAGTAGTAGTAGTAGTAGTAGGTGTGGTAGGTGTGGTAGTAGTAGTAGTAGGAGTAGTAGTAGGAGTCGTAGGAGTAGTAGGAGTAGTAGGAGTAGCAGCAGCAGTAGCAGTAGGTAGTAGTAGGTAGTAGTAGGTAGTAGTAGGTAGTAGTAGGTAGTAGTAGGTAGTAGTAGATAGTAGTAGGTAGTAGTAGGTAGTAGTAGGTAGTAGTAGGTAGTAGGTAGTAGGCAGTAGGTGGTAGGTGGTAGGTGGTAGGTGGTAGGTGGTAGGTGGTAGGTAGTAGGTAGTAGGTAGTAGGTAGTAGGTAGTAGGTAGTAGGTAGTAATAACAGGAGGCTGCAACGATTCCATCCTTGCTTCCTTTATTGCTTGCTTACTTCTTTGCTTGCTTGCTTGCTTGCGCGTTTGCTTGCTTGCTTGCTTGCCTGCTTGCACGCTTGCATGCTTGCTTGCTCGCTGGCTTGCTTGTTTGCTGGTTTGCTTGCTTGCTTGCTTGCTTGCCACGAGCAAAACGGAAAAAAAATAAGAAAAAACAACTTAAAAAATAAGCAAAAACTATCACCACCGAATTTCTCAGACTCGGATAGCTTCCCAGACTTCTCCTCGGCTGCCCGAGCCCTCCGAGGCATGGACGGGAACCCTCCGTACTCGAACATTCGAAGCAGGTCGTGAAACTGCCTCGGTGGGTGCACGTCGCGACTGCTTGTGATGCTTGTGAAATCAGCAACGACTTTGCCGTAAAGGGCGCGGCCCATGAACGTCCCCACAGATGTTCATAGGCGCCTTGGTTGGCAGCATCGGGCATGCCCAATGCTCCGGTGCTCCTTGTGCACCTACCGAAGTGTGCTTCGACCGGAGCCTCCAGCTCCAGGAAAGGGCTTTGTGACAGGAAAATGCTCCGGACCTGGTCAAGACCCCTTGGAGATGTCGCAGAGCCGGAAATTACACTGGAGTCACGACACTGGGCTTTGGCAGCTAGGTACTGTGATGGGACGAGATCTCTGAATGGCTGCAGAACACATCAGTCGGCTGCCTGAAGGCATAGCGCCTTGATTTCCTGCTCCTCAAACCTCGGAGTTTAGGCTGCATGGCGGTTAATCCTGTCCTGCGAAAGCACTGAGTGACTGAGTGCCGGTCGCAACTGGCTTCCCTGGCTTCGAGCTTCGAGCATCCAAGCACCTTCGTCCGTCAGACCATCATGTCAGGCATGGGAAATATCCGCTTGGGCAGCAGGGGCTACGCTCATGATTCACTGAATGGCGACGAATCCCACCTTAGAGGCGACGGGTCGATGCCGACGATGCCCGCCACGGCCACTTTTGTGCCGCAAGCAAGCGGTAAAAGTGCTTTACAGATCAGGACGAGGGTAGCAATGAAGATAGCGACTTGGGGAGACGACTACTTTCGTCATGCCTCGCAGGTTGCGAGAATGGGCCAGCGGCAACATCATCACGATCCCCAGCCCCACCAGCCTCGTCAACATCACTATCGTCATGGTCAGTGACACCACCACCATCGTCATGGTTCTTACCATCGCCACCGCGATCATGATCTTTGAGGCTGGAATGCCGGAGCTCTCATCCCCCGGCCTCTTGACAATCTCTTCGAAATCCGAGCTCGCCATGACCGTGGCCTGCTACAGTATGAGACAAGGCCGTAAGAACGTTACATCCCTCGTCCTGGCCTCTGTTGCCGCTCCAATACAGGACCAGCTTCGGTTTGAAAGGCAGCGGCGGCAATCACGCAGTGGAATCAATTCCGACCACTTGGGCCTGCTTGAATCATTGAATCTCAGCCTGAAACCTGCGTATAACGGTGGCCGATGAAATGAACAGTGCACCGGGGCGCGCTGCACTTTTTACGCACGATCATTAATGCAAGATCCGAATTAGCGTTAGCCCGACCGGCTCGTCTGATCTCAATACCTGCCAGCCTACTATACGTTACCTATCTGTCTGTGCGGACATGTAGCTAGATGCCCTTTCGGTCCTGGTTTCACCTTCCAGCAGTGTCGAAAGCTCTCAGGCTGCCTTGGGCCCCTCGCCATTGACGCCACTCTACTGTATCAGGGGAGTCTTCTAAGGGCTGTTATGAAGGCTTGGGAAAGGAATGTCACTTGTAACAGAAGCGAGCCTCCTCCTCAAAAAGCGCAATTTCACTGCACGACAATAATGTTTCTTGCCTGATAATCGCCTGTATCAGTCGTCCTGCGTGCCTGTTTTTTCGAGTACATGTTTGCGAATTCATTGCCCTTGCAGTGTCTGAGACGCCCAACCGTAGATTGCGTGGTGCTTGTCTTCAATCCCTGGGTGGAGCTTGTCATTGAGATCGACTGAAGCCGACGGCTCACATGGGCAAGTCCAGATCGTCTCCACTCCCAAACCTCAAAAGCCAAATGCGGAGATATGCAGAGGTTTGCGTGGGGCAGGAACAACGAGAGTCCAAGGCTGGAGCTCCTCGGCCTCTGAGACCTCGCGGACAGTACCGTGCTTGGAAAGCGGCTACGACTCGGACGTCACCGGCTTCCGGAGAAGCACGACTTCTGAAACCCAGCTCTTTTTCGCTTTCGGCTCGTCGACGGGACAGCATAGGCTGATCGCCCTGTGGCATCAAACGATCAATGGCTCCCTCAGCGGAGAACTTCTCCGGCATCGGATCCCTCGGCACGCAACCGTGCGGGCTTAACGAGCATTGAAACCAACTGCAAAGGCCGCATTCGGAAGCCAAGGCTCAGAGCAGTGAGGCCGGCATCATGCCAAGTAGGGCCCAAACCCACCAAGGGCCCTGACAAAGGAATTAACACAGGCACAATCACGTGCGCACACACAAACAAACAGAGAGAGATCTCAAAACAAAGCAGTGGCTTCATCCGGCCCATCTGCAAAGAGAACCCTGGGACCCTGCCTCGTCCACCCGACGCTCCCAAAGCTGGTCGGCTGGAGCACAGCCCCAATCTTGCCAAGAGTCCACAGCAGCCCTGGACATCTCCAAAGCACTTTGAGCAGGGTACCCGGGAACCCTCTTTGCCAACAAGCTGCACGAAGCGAGACAGGGGACAGAGAACCTGTCAGACAGAACTCCAAAGAGACGCACTACAGCCGGCTACAACTGTTGGATCCGTTTGCCATGTCCGTGCCCTTGCCACTATTGCCACAACTCCATTCCACGCCTCTCCACAGACTCCAAGCGTGATGGGCTCTCCATCGCGCACAACACGCAATATCCGCTCGCCACTCGGCCCGGCGTAAAGCTCCAAGAGCACAGACGAGGCGTAGCCTGCCCACAACACTGAAACTGAAGACACCCATCGACACGATGTCGGGCACTGCGGGTCAAGAAGTTGCCTGGCCAACGGTTGTCCTCAGCTAGTTGGGCTAGACTTCCCGTTTTCTGCACTCGTCGGGCAAGTTCACATTGATCCGGTCACGAAAACTGCACGATCTGAATAGTCCACGCTTCAAATCCCTCGAGCGCATTGAGCAGGTACATCATGGTGCCTTTTGTGTCATCGTGCGGACGAAACACCAACATTCGCTGCACCTGTAGCCGAGGTGCTGTCATGTGTGGACCACATAACGAGCTTCCGCCCATGAGATGCCATCTTGAGCTGATCGCGTAGGGCATCCAGCCTCCCGGCGTGCCCCGTTTGCAATTCGCCGGTTGAAGCTATAAGTGAGGCGCCGACGCCCTTGATGCCACCAGGGATGTCCAGTTCGTGGTACGGACCTCGGCACTCTCACTTCCCACTCAGAGAGTGAGGGAATGGATATTCGTGCTGCATGCCGCATCGTACCCCTTAAACATACCTCGACCACGAGTTTCCAAGCCTGGGCTCTGTTGCATCCTTGCCAGCCGGGGCTCGGCAAGGCTCGAAACCTCTGAAAAACCTGTGAGGCGGGGTGCAATCGAGAGTATGCCAAGGAACTGCGGCCATTTGCTGCAGCCAGCCCCAATACAACGCCTGGCCGGTGCAATCCCATCCCTTCTTCAGGCTGATGCCGCGCTACAGCTCGTTCAAAAGCACCTCATCCGCCAGCGCGTCATCGATGGCAACCGGCAGGGTGAGACCTCCAGACTCGTGTATAAAAACTCACCGCGCGAAGTCCCTGGAGCTTTGACCTCATTGGCTCCTTTGATGATATAACAATCACTGGTGCTGTCGGTGCTTCCATATCACATGTCGGCGATTCATGGCATAACGCAGGGGCTCCCTCGCCTGCGCAGCGTGTCGTGAGGATGCAGTCGTAGTTCATGTGGTGCCATGACACCTTAGGACAAGCGGGACTACAGGACGACAGACCAAGTTGTCGTGGTCCTGCATAAGCGGAACATCTGCTTCATAAGGCACCTGTCGGGGATTGTTCGGAGCATACGATTGTCTGAAAGGCTAAAGGCCGAAGTCAGTGGAGTCCGAAGCGCAACAAACAAGCTGAGCCGCTTAGGTTCGGCTTCTGGCCAAGTGGCATTTGCGTGCTGCAACCAAGCCGAAGCAAAAGCCTGGAAGTCTTGGTCGGCTTGGATCTCCTGAGCCGATCAGGTCATTAGGTCTCCTGAATCGAGGTCTGAGTGTGGGACAGTGCCTGGATCGCTTGAACGGGAGAACCGTCGCAGGGCGATTTGTCGACGTAGCCAGAAAGTTGGAAAGGATCGTCTTTGACAGGGTGAGTATGTACAGGAACCTGGGCCGATGATTCTGGACAGAAGTCCGAGCCGATCTTGCAAGTTAATGTTGCTAAGTCGCTGGGACATCTGCTCGAGACCCAGCAAACAGCTGTGTCGCCAGCAGGTCTGCACCTTGCTTCACGTATACTACAGATGTCTGGCAAAACATGCGCTTAAGGCTTAAGTCCGTCGCTGCATCTACGCATTATCATGCATCTGCCTGTATTTTGCCGCACTCGCAAGACTCACATATCCTCCATTGCATTCAGTCGGATAATTAGACAAACCAGTCGCACAAGCACTCAGGACATGCATGCGAACGACCGGCAGCCAATCAAGCAGCACGGGGAGAGCCTCTCTAGTTCAACAAGGCTGATTGTGCTTGGGGTTTCGGCGCTCACAATCGCTCACACTCGGACAAAGGGGCCTAAACCTGCCCCCCTGGTCCACGTCTGTTCCTTCCCCCACGTACAGAAAGGTTGTGATATGTTAGATAACAACGATCGCATAAGCAAGGTGTTGTTGGGGATGTGTGGTGTGTGTGTGTGTGTGTGTGTGTGTGTGTGTGTGTGTGTGTGTGTGTGTGTGTGTGTGTGTGTGTGTGTGGGTGCGTGCGTGCGTGCGTGCGTGCGTGCGTGCGTGCGTGCGTGCGTGCGTGCGTGCGTGCGTGCGTGCGTGCGTTCGTGCGTGCGTGCGTGCGTGCGTGCGTGCGTGCGTGCGTGCGTGTGTGTGTGTGTGTGGGGTGTGTGTGTGTGTGTGTCTATGTCTGTGAATACGCAGGTGAGTCCACACACACACAAGATCACCTAAGTGGGTTTCTGGCCAGTGCAAGCCAAGATGCTCGCCAAGTTGCGCTCATTGTCGCAAGCATATAAATCTTAGTGAAATCGAATGGTCTTCCGATATGCAAGACCCGTGCCCACGCTCAGGCAATGGCACACACTCCCATTCGTCGGGTTCAACTGCTTCCACAAAGCCGTGTGCTGGTAGCTGGCATTGAGCGACCAAGCTAAATTCCTGAACCTGAGCGAAGGTGCAACACGCAGTGTAATCCGTCACAGCCACGCTGTCTTCAAGATGTTCGCAGGTAGTTGAGGGTGGTGTTGCGCATACTGCAGAACATATTTTCGTTGAGATCAAACCTAGCCAAATCTTTGAACGAAGAACGTCACCAGGGTTCGTCTCATGACTGATGCTGCATGGGGTGTCCACTCTTTTGACCAAAGCCACAGCAGGACTGTGACAGCCGAGGGTCTGTTCTGGGGCCTCGTCCAAAAGCGAACCGAGACCACAGCCGCCGGGCTCATCGAAGCGCTTCGTGAGCGGCCTGAGCTCAATTGCTGCATTATGCTGCATTGTGTTGCTCTCCACTGAAGGCTTCAAGATTGAACACTATAGAGAGCACCGCGCCTTGCACCCCCCGCACTGATGGACACGGGAAGGTTGCCTCACCATGGCTGGGACGGCGACGAACCAAGTCAGTGCCTACCATCAAGAAGGCCAAGTCACACCGGAGAGGTGGACGTTCCTGACTCGATCAGAACAGCACATGGTCCATGACCCAGTCGGCAACATGATAAGACATGTCTCAGGTCCCTTGGGGCCTAAGTCGCTTTCACGGCCGCTTTAGCACATTGCGAGGTGCGAACCGGCGAAAGTCACATTACACGCCAAAATCACAGCACAAGTAGTTGGTAAACCACCAGTGTGACACGCGATATGACATGGCACCGCCGCAGAAGGAAGACTGTGCCATTCGATGGAAATGCTGCGACAGCCCTGGGAGTATGTGGAGAATGCACCCACGTCCCGGAAAACGCATACCACCATTTAGATGCACGATTTGACATGGCAACATCGTAGAAGCAAAACTGTGCCAAACACGGTGGTATCCCGGCCATTCTCCATGCAGACGCTTGATTTGACAACCATGCCCATGAGACACACGTCAGTCACATCAGTATCATCATACATCAAAACCAGCCAGCACCCCGATCATGACTCCGTGTGCCCAGCAGGCCTGAGAGGTTGCCCACTTCGCACGTATGGCGTTTGGATTTCTGATGGGTTGTTGGCCTCGAATACATTCGGCTCCATGCACCAAAGCAGCAAAATCCAAGTAGACACCCGAGTCCACAAGCAACTGTTCGAGACACACGTCAGTGGCAGCACAACACCCCGAGTTCGAAATGGCGTACGAACACGCGAAACCTTAGTGTGATGCTGCATAAAAAGCATGCAAGACGTCATCACAGTAGTGGATTGTATGTGTTTGTCAATACGTTTCCGCTTTGTGACGCCGGATTCATGCGACTTTCGGCGGTGCGCAGCAATTGCAGCAACTAGACCTCCCAAGTGCCTTGGGGCTAACCACTTCTTGAACAACCCAGCATTGGTTACGTTTACGTTCTGTATTCAGCCATTCCGCTGTCTTGCGTCGGAGGCACTATCGGTGCATTTCTGCTCTTCGCCCAGCAGCTCAGAGGTGCCCAGAGGGAGCGAGCTCCGTGTCTGTGGATGACCTTCGCACTTTGACTAGGGAGAGGCATAAGCAAATAATGCAAACAACTCTGCGCCGTAGTGCCTGCAGCTGGAGCAGCTCCAGGCCTTCGACAGGCGGCTGCACCTGCCGCATTAAACGGGCTGTTCCACGCAGGTTCCACGATCCCCTCTCGCACTGTCTTGCACGCTCAAAGACTCCAAAGGGGCCCCCCACCCATCGAACGTCGTGGCCGCAGTACTTTGCAAAGACTTCGCGCCCACGCGAAGCGAAGGATGCACCAGCACGCAGGAAGCTGGCGACGACCAGAAGGCAGCTAATGCCTGCGAAGGCAGTCCCTGAGACTTTTTACCGCGTCTTTCAACAGCCGGGGCCTCCAATGCCTCTGATTCGGCACACCATTGTCAAGCTTGCAGCGCCATCTGAAACTCAATAGTTTTCTCTCTGGCGCTACATGCAGCTGCATCCAAACATGGCATGCCTACAATACCACAACTCTCCACGATAGTATCCGGGCTGGTAAAGCCTGCCAAGATGTGCTCGCATTCTGCATTCGGCTGGCAAATCGCACGAATAGCGGTCGCAGTGCCGCTCCGTTCAACTTCCCATGCTGCTCCCGAGCGCAAGGGCGAACAGGATGTGAAGCACCAGCAGCGGAAAGCCGACGAGCTGAGGCAGCTGAGGGCATGGCGTTCGTGGAGAAAGCCTTGCGAGCATCGCAGAAACAATAGAAACCGAAGCTTCCCAACAACCCTTCGGGGCAGCATTGAACCACCGGGGTCCGCACACAAACAGGCTCTGCTGCCACATCTTGCGCCAAGGCCTGTATGGCACATAAGCTACTTTCCAGAGTGAGGCAGTTTGCCTGAAAGCGCATTTTGTATGTTCGGAAGCCTCTAAGGCTTGTCGCTGATCAAGACGCGGTTGTCGTTCGCCTTCAGATGCTCCGCCATGACATGAACACCTCTGCGCAGCAAAGTGACGCACGTGCCTCCGCTTGAGCTGCCCGACGAGCTCTGTGCTCGGGGCACCTGCAGACTCGGGCAACTCTTGTCATCTTCTTTGAGTCGCATCGAAGCTATGCAGTCTCAGTCGTGCCACCAGCTGTGAGATGCAGCGCCTTTCCGGCGTCCTCCTCAACACGAGGCGTGGGTGTCTGGCCTGAACCGGATGCATAAACACATACACATGAATACGCGAGTCACGCGCTTGACTCATGCTTGTGGCTCAGGCGCAAAATGCCCGGTTTCACACCAGGTGCCCGGCTTCCATGTGACGATGACCCACTGGCATGCTCCGCGAAAGCCTTTGGGGCGGATCCTTTTACACCTGGACTACGCATATGCCAGGAGGTTTGGGGCGGATCCTACATCAGAAGCCCAGAGCAATGCTTAATCCTGATGCTACTCTTGCACGCATGACTTGTATTCAACAGCTCTCTGAGAAGCTTTGCGCTGAGTGCAAGCAAGAGCATCGGTCCAAGCGATGCTTAAATGACGCATATAACCGAGCGACGCTCGCGGCCGCGAACCTACTTCAATTGCCAGAACTCAGGCACCAGCAATGGGTCTCCTGAGTGTCAAACGGAGGTAGATCGCAGGATGTCGGAAAGGTTTGCCGAGCCTCGGCAACAGCCAAGGACGGCTTGGCAGATGAAGCATTGGCGTGTTTGGCGATACTGCGCTACTGAGCAGCAATGGTGGCCATAGTCTTCGTCCTCACCAGCGTCAGCAATGACATCCGCCCTTCCACCTTCATCATCAACATCGTCATCGCCGTCGAGATCGGAATCCCGATACCGCACATCCTCCAAATCCTCATTGCCTCCTCATTCACATCATGTTTGGCACCACCAGAATCATCGGAATACAACGCAAAGCACGAGTGATCATTCAACGTAAGATGCATCTGCACCCTTTCTCAGAACTTCTGGCGATCTTCGGGCTGCAGCCCAAGGTTGGAGAAGAGGAGCTCACCTCCAGGCTTCAAGTCTTCAACACATGTTCAGCAAGCAACCCGACCAACCTACTGCATACCCTTAGGTCCAAGGGGTGCTCTTCTCTGAATCTGCAACAGCGATGAATGTTGCAATGTTTTCCGAACACGCGCTGAGACTTCAGAGGAAACGTCCCGGTGCGGGAGCTCTTTTTCTGATCCTCCCTTTCCGGGAACAGCCTTTAAATCGCACGGCTCTCTTTGGAGTAGGTCCACTCCCACAGGCTTCTTTCGATTTCCTGCAGCTCAGCATTGCAGGAGTGCTTCGGAGGAAGCCCCAAATTTCAAAGGAGGGGCACTGTCCAAGAGTGAAATGGCCATGGTCTGGGGTCGTCGCCCTCCAGAGACCCGACCTCGCAGTTTGTAAACGACCCTGCCTCAACCCACTGTCTACAGGGGTGAAAACCAATCTTAATATCTTTCGCAACTTCGTGCCCTGCTAGATCGATTCGAAGGCAGAGGCAGGCAATGGAAAAAGTTTGGCTCTGGTACCTGAGTGGTCAATCTTTCCCCCCAGCGCAAACATACGCGAAGTGCCCGATGTTGTTCGGAACCAGTGGGGAGTGATTGGTCAGCGCCTGAAATTAATTAGGTGAGCTCTGCGAGCGTTGCCGGCAGGTCGGGTTTTCATGTTGCTATGGTTGCCTCCTGCCTGGCCGGGTCTAGGCCTTGAGACCCATACAATCGGCACTGGCAGGGGCTTCGGTTAGTTCAGCGCGATCGCAGAGCTTCTTCGACAAGGGGCACCACCGCAGCACTTCAAAAGCTGCGGTGGATCCTTTGCGCAGCACTCCCCACGAGGCTGCGCAATTTGCACTGGATTAGCAGAGAAGTGCCCGACATGCGGGGGCGGCTTTCGCGCTCTTCAGGCCGGAGTCGCCCTTCATGACGAAGCTCCTGAACCAGGAGAGAAAGCGAACCAAAACAAGGAGGCGAGCGCTGTGCGTCCTTTCGAGCCCCGGCCAGGCGCTGCCCACCATCAGAATCAGAGCCAGGGAAGCAGGTTCAGAGATGTCATTCTCCAGAGGAATCCTCAGGCCATGCAGGGAGTTTGTTGCCGGTCCGGGCTTTTTTGGCCCCTCCTTTCCGCGTCTTGAACCCTTCCACTCTCATCTTGGGGGGCTTTAAACTCCGCTTCTGCCGTGGCTCTGCGTAGCCATGGCCGAGGCCTCGTCAGGGGCCAACGGTTCAAGGAGAAATCCCCCACTGGTACATAGAACCATCTAGATGTTAGCAAAGGTCAGTGGATTTGCATGTACCTGTGTTGAGTTGTAACATGACATGAAAGCATAGTCATGCATGCATGCATGTGCGGGTGTGTGTGTGTATATATATATATATATATATATGTGTATGTATGTATGCATCTGTGCGTGGCATGGTCTGGTGCGTGAACAGTATGGTATGGTATGGCAGGGCAGGGCACGGTATGGTACGGTATGTACTTATGCATGAATGCATCTCATGACGCTCACTTTCGGACTGTGCCGGGCCGGGTCTGAACAGGATTCCTCTGAAGAGCCGGTTCATGTCAGACGGTTCACTAACAACACAGTATACAGTATGCACCTTATTCGACTCCTGATCCTGCATGCAGAATCCGATCCCAAACTCGCAGATTCCTATCCAAAACCACTCCGCCTATCAGAGTTGTATCATGCCGTGCAAGGATCTCAGCCAGTACTTAGGTGTAGCACTTGACCCCAGGGTTCTCATTCACAGCCATCTCACTACGTGTTCTATGCACCAGGTTCCGGTGTCGCAAATTCCGGAATTCAATGGTCCGTCGGGACGAGTTTCCCCAGCAGATGTGGCCGTGCATGCGTTAGTCTGTTGGCATGCGTGCCCATATAGAGCATGCAGTTATGTACACAGCTGCCGCTCTTCTACTGGATGCTCAACATCTCTCTCGTTATGTCCGCTATATTGTGAACATGAGCTGGACGAGCTTTGCACGAGGCCTCACGGCTATGAAGCAGTTGCTGGCCACGCAGAGGAGGAAAAAGGTAAACACCTGGTTGGTCGGGTTTCGCAGTCCGCGAGATTTGTGCACAGTTCGCTTGATGGCTGCAAACCCGAGCCTGAGCCAACCTAAATGGAGCTGCTGCAAGCAGGGGGCTACCATTCCGATCCCCATGCCCGCGACAGCCACCGTCTTGGCGGCGGGTTGGCTCATCCTTTGGAAGCTGAGAAGCAGAGAAACCAAACAAGCTAGTCCCAGTCGAGCGTGCTACGGTCATGAGACGCCATCAAGTCTCCAAGCTGAAAAAATCCAGTCTGACTGGTCGTGGCTGGCCACGTGGATCCGCCTCGAAAGACTGCGTCAGAACCGGCCCTCTCAAGAATGCGACAGAAAAAGTATCTGAGAATGCGACCACTCTGGGGTGGGCCCCTCGAAAGGGCTCAGGCGCGGATCTGGCGGTGGTATCGGAGGAGCATCTTCACCGAAGGGGGCGCGAAGGAACATGGCACCACTCGGGAGCCTCGGCTCGTGGACAGATGTGCAACGGCAGGCTTATAATAGTAACAATACTATTAGAGTAATAATCGTACTAACAGTAATAATAATAACAATAATAATAATAATACTACTAATAATAATAATAATACAGAAGAGGAGGCTGTGGGGCCTGCGTTTTGGCAGCCCACTGCTTTCAGTTGTTTTCTATGCTTCGAGTCCCCACAGCAACCTGCTCTCCCATAATAATAGTTAAATAGTAATAATAGTATTTAATAAGCATTTAATAGTATCTGATTCTCGTTCAGGTCGGGCAGCGTCACGGTGTAGCACTGGTGGAGAATTTGCCGCAAATCTGAAACCTGAGATGTCCAAGCTGCAACCACGCTTTGTTAGTACCCACGGCCAACACTGCCTCGTCATTCGCAAAGATCCCCAAAAAACAACTTCTGAATGGGAAGGCTCCCTGCTTGAACACCACTGCTTTGTCGAAAAGTTCTTCAAGAACCCATCTCTGGATTCGAGCCATCCTCGACCAAACCCGCAACTGCAGCCCAATTGCATTCTTGATTTGGCGCAGGAGAAGGCTCAAAGGAGTCGGTTCCAACCTCACCAGGTGGTCGACGGAGTGTTTAAGACACACCTAGTACACAATGCACCGAACGCATGAAGGGCCGGAGCTGCAATGTTATCAACATGCCCTAACTCGGCTGGAAGTTGCATTGGACGCACGCACGCACGCACCCGCACGCACGCACACACGCACACACGCGCACACACACACACACACACACACACACACACACACACACACCGTGCCTGCTCTGTCTGCGCATTACATGTTGCCACGAAATTGTGTCGGATAGTGAAAATTCAAGGAGCAAGTAGTCTGCCGAGAAGTCGTTGGAAACATGGCCTGCTGCGCTGCTGGACAACTAGCCCTTGATTCAGACAGAGCACATGACTCACCTGTAACGACCCAAACCACAAAGTTCGCTTTCAGGACTCTACAAGTAGCACGAGTTCCGGCACCTGGAGGCCAGCGGTATCGGGCAGAGGCTTGGCTGCACTCCACGAGCCGGGACATGCTCACGCTCCCTGCGCGTCCGTTCTTTCCGTCCTCCAGCATTGTCATCCTGAGGCAGTAGCGCGACGCTGCGATACTCGAGACTCTGACTGTGGTTTGTAAGGTTTCGCTGAGTCCAGTGTGGCTTTTGCCATGATGCGGCCAAGCGTCAGGTCTTCTTGCCGACCTTCGTTGTTCACGGCCTTGGCCTCGAGACCTGACAACATGGATTTCCCTTTGCGAGCCTTGGACAGCTCCCAGTCCCGGCCTCTCAGAGAGACATCCACTTGCCCATACCTCGTGGGGCTGTCGATGAGCAGATCGACATGCCGCACCCGAAATGTAGCCGCGTCCAAGAGGGGATACTTGCCTGTACATTGCAGAAGGCTGCCATCGTTCCTCATGCCCAGAACTACAACACAGCCTTGAAATGGATCGGGTTGGACCCCGCCCACCACATCCAGCCATCTGGAGATGAGATCTTCAACCTTATCTGCTCAGCGGCTCGGCTACAAGGCTCCAGTCCATGACGTGTCTCTACCAAAACGCCTCCTCCTCACTGCCCGCCGGTTGCTCTGCGACCTCCGCCCAAACGGAATCCTGGACGCAGGGACACAGGTAGTAGAATTGAAAATGGTACAGGTGCTTGGGCGACATGGGTTGCATGTCATACTGAGGGAGGCTGCAGCCAAGGTTCGATTTCGACCACAATTGGGCTTGAGTCAAGAGCCATCAGGTTGTTCCAGGACACCTGGCAAGCAGCCAAAAACAAAGTCCTCCGTCATCTGAAGTCATCCCTCGGTCTGGCCTTGACATCGCTAATCCAGAACTTTGTGAAATTGAGCCCCGGCGGGGCAAGTGCAATCAAAAGGGAAGCCTCAGAAGAACTTGGCATCACACTCATTGGGCGACCCCAGGAGCAGGTTCGTTGCTAGAAACGTGGCAAGGAGCGGCAGCAGGGCTTACCGAAAGATTCCGCAGCCAGAAGGACCGCTGCAAGAAGATGTCGGCCTCGATGTGTGTGGAGTCCTTGCGGCGCTGCACAGGCACTGCTTGAACGAAATAACAGCCAGCAGTGATCGATAAACTTACGACACGTGACACTTCGCACGTTGCTCTAAATTATGGGATGTCACCATGAGAATTACAACTATTATGCTACTGCACCGGCTATACCCCGACGGCCTTTGGTATTCCTGTTTGGTTCCACAGAGAGTTCTTTGGAGACCGAATCTCTTCACTTCGAGCGCTGAGCGGCCCAAAAGTCTGGCACAAAGACCGCCAGCTGCCGAGAGAACAAGTTGTAGACCTCTGCGGGACGGTCGGGCGGACTTCCTGCCTGGGAATTTGTATCTACCTTGATCCATCCATCCATTCTAGATGTAACCCTGACCCTAGGACCCCATGTCATGCACAGTAAGCAGATCTGAGCGGACGTTGTGGACTTTTTCGACTTCTCTTCGAAGCCACTCTTTGGGCCATGGTTGCAAGGGGCCCAGATTTCAACGATCTCTTGGCTTCGGGAAGTCCGGGGACTTGGAGCGTGCCTTCACCACCGCCCAAAGACTCGAAGTCAAGGCAACACCAAGAGCCGACAGCATTCACGCAGGTTTGGCAGGAGGCTGTTCTCGGTCCGCAAGGAACAACGAGTCGTCGAAGGAACGCCATCGTTGCACAGCTGGCTCTGAGATGCGTGTCCCGCTTCAGTCGAGAGAGAGGCCAGCAAAGTCTGGGAACCAGGACCGGTATTGCAGCAGCGACTTCACCACGATTCGGAGCCGAGTTTCCAGTGCAAGGCCCGCTGCCAGGGACTCTTGGCTCATGGTTTCCATCACTTCCGCCGCGCGCACGCCAGGCGCCACGAAGGCTGTGGCCAAGCTCTTTCGCGGCCGCTCGCTAATACAGTTCCCCCCCCAGTGCACCAAGTTCGCCCTCCAGACCAAGGTCTCGCCCTCGTCACAGGGCAAGGCCTCGTCAAGGGCGTAAGACGTCACGCTAGACAGCAGTCTTTGAGAAAGTCCTACGAGCACTTCTCAGCACTTTCTCGCTTGCTTGCTTGCCGGGGAATGTAGGGTTCCGAAAGACCCTTGGCCCGAAGGCCAACCCCTCCAGGCTCGCGTCAGTCAGCTCGGCCCCCATTCTTGGCGGCCGAGCGCACTCTGTTTCCCTCTATTCTTCTGCAGGGCATGAGGGGCGTTCGAGACCCCTCGGCCACTAGGGCCCCCACATTATTTGATGGGGCTTTGGAGGAGCGTTCTCCCTTTCGCCAGGGTTATGATGCAGGGCAACACTCCTTCTCTCTCTTGCTTGCTTGCTTGCGAAGCGTGTGGGAGGTAGGGAAGGCCCCTACACCCCCTGCGCGCGAGCGCTACGCCACTGTTCGTGTCTTGAGTGAGACTTGGTGACGCAGCTTGGCCAGGGGATCCCCAACTCGACACCCACAAGTCACTCAGTGCAAACCGTGTAGTCCCCGCCTGGCCAAGCTCGCGTGTGTCGGTGCCGGGTATCCGTAGGTTTTCTACGGCGTGGCTGCTTGTGTCCCCGAGCTGACAGTTGAGCAAGTACCGAAACCCATTACAGCTAGTGTCCTTAGTGCCACATTGTAGAACGCCTTGAGCTCTGGACACTGTTTCAAACTCTCTCAGCTAGTGTGGTGAAGGTTTGGTGGATCCTATGTTGCTTGTGACAGTGCGGGTCCCGGAGGGAAGCAGCGTAAGGGGATACACAGGCAACACACTAGGGGGTTGTTACACACTCTTGGTCCCCGCACTGTTGGGGATGGTGGTGCTGTGGCGAGGCTCCGGTACAGTGGGGGTCAGGAAACACACGGGGAGAGGTAAAACGCAGTAGGGGAACATCACTCTCTGTGCCGGAGCCCCGGAAGTGGTTGCTGGTGAATGTGTCCGTAGAACTAGCCGTAGGTCCCCTTCTAGGCACAGGTTTCAAAAAACACCAGGACTGCAAACCATTCTTGAAAAGGTTAAAACACTGACCTGGCCCCGGGGGCGTGCCCCGCTTTTAGTGCGGGTCGAAGGCTGCGTGCATCCTTCGTCTACGGTGTGTTCCCGTGGTTTCCGGGTTCACCTCATGGTCCCCGCTCACGCGATCTTGTTGGTGGGAACTTCTCCAGAATCGTGTCGGAGGCGGTGAGGGCGATATCCCCGTCATTGTGCGACGACGTCGCTGCATGCCCCACGCTTCGTCTTCAGTGTCTGTGCCGGGGACATCGTTCACGTTCCATCCTTCGAAGGCTTCTTGTCTTAGGGTCGTCATGGACCGCCTTCGTTCGTCCCCGCGCATCTCATGGGATGGTCCCGGGATGCCCCCCGCAGGTCTCCACAATGCCTCGTCTGGCATGGGGCCGCTGATTGCTGGAGGCGGGTCCCACAAAATGGTCTCGGCCTCCTCCGGCGTCAGTTGGATAGGCTCCTGCCACAACGCCGTGGTCCACTGTTGTAGGAGTTGAAGTGCCTCTGAAGCCAGCGGGACCTGGTCCCCGATCAGGGTTGGTAGCAGTTGCTGTAGAAGTTGCTGTGCACGCAAGATCATATAAGGAGTGGCGTCGGTGCCTGCGCTTGCTGCTGCTGCTGCGGGCTCTCTTCGGTCCCCTCGGGTGAGCCTTGGCTTTTTGTGTGCCGGTTGCTCACCGGTGGGCGTGCTGTCGCCCGCGTCATGTGGTGGTCGTGGTAATAGGGGTTGGCCAGGTGAGGCTGCTGCCGTGTGCAAGGGCACCGCTGTTTCTCCTTTGGTGCCCGTGTGATTGTGGGCAGAGGTGCTGGCTGCTGCTGTATGGCTGTGGGTGCCGGCTTCGTTGGTAGCAGTGGAGAAGTGGTGTTCACTGGCAGGTTGTGTTGTCTCGCCACTGTCTGCTTGTGTTGGTGTAGGTTGGGGGTGGGTGGCGGGCGGGTGGTTGGATTCCGCTGCTGCAGCCTCAACGGCTAAGATGGCACGCATCATCTCTTCCTGTGTTTCTTCGCTTGGTAGGAGCCAGGCGGGTCCCCTGGGTGGTGGATGTGCATCTGGTGACATACCGCAGTCCTGGTTGTTGTCAAGCCCCTGGTGCTCGGGTCGACTGGAGCCTGCGGTAGCTGTTGCTGTATCCAAGGGTAGGAATAGATCGCGCAGGTGGCGGATGTTGTGGTACTGTGGCGGTTGTGGTTGTGGTTGCTCCTGGGTATTCTCTGCGGTCTGCTGGGGCCCGGGTGGGACGTTGCTCCGGAGCTGTAGGTTGGTCTGCACAAACGCTGCTGCCAGGTGGTGGTTAGTCAGCTGTTGGTTGCGTGATGGCAACTGGTTGCGCTTGGGTGGCTGCTGTGGTCCCCGTTCCGGGTGCACCGTAGTGCCTGTGTCTTGGTCGAGGTGTGGACCATCGCTGCCTGGTCTAGTGTTTGCGCGGTGGCTGTGGTGGCTGTGGTACTGCGGTGGTTGTGATTGTGGTTGCTCGTGGTTGTGCCAGGGTTGTGGCGGGGTCCCTGCTGGGTGCCGCGGTGTTGGGGTTGCTGGTGTTTGCAGGAGCTCCGTTCTGTCGTCTTCCGCCGGGGGTCCCCCGCTTTCACTCCCGTCGCTGCTGGGCCAGCCCCGTTCTGTGTCGTCCCCGCTGTCGGCGGTGCCATTGGGGGGTGCTGTGGGTGCGAGTGGGGGTCTGGCTTTGGGCACGCCTGGGGCATGTAGGGAGCCCCGTGGGTTCCTCTGGAGCTCGGTGGGCACTTCCATGGGGGTAGGAATTTGAAGTACACCCCGGAAGGAGAGGTCCCCTGCAGTTCTCTCGACCAGGGTCCAGTCATCCTGGTCCCATACTATGAGGAAACTGTCTCCTCGTCGTATGTCGATGCTGTCTGGTAAGGGTTGCTCCAGGCCTGGTATACGAGCCGGCCCCTCATCTATTTCGATACCTTCTCTCTCTCTCTCTCTCTCTCTCTCTCTCTCTCTCTCTCTCTCTCCACTTTTCGTCGGCCTCTCCAAGAGCGCAGATGCTATCGTCCGGCCTGAGGTGGTAGGGATTCTCGGAGGCGCTTAGAAGCGGGTCCTTGTTGGCCGGGACCACGTTCATGCAGCCATTGCTGACTGTGACGGGGACCAGCGGTATCCAGGTCGTAAGCATCCCAAGCCGTGCATCTGAGAAGTGGCAGTCGGCATAGCTTTTGTCCCGATGGGCTCGGCCGAAATTACTTCCAACTCGCCCTGTCCCCGCTGCATCTGCTTCCGGCTGCAGTGCCCACGCAAAGACCTGGGCTAGCAAGGCCCCCCAACAGTAATTTCAGAAACTCTCTGCGCTGCAACCTGGGAGCAGAAAGGCTGATCCGAACGTCCGGGCGCTCCAGCAGAATTTGAACGGCCTCAAAAAGTCGAAGGAGGAGTTGCCAGGGCTGGTCGTAAAGGAAGATGAAGACCTCATGGCCCGACACGTCAGCGGCAAAAGATGCGCCGAGAACACCACTGCCAAGGCGCTGGGGGGAAACCTCGCTCCTGCAGGTTGCTCATGGCAGCCGCCAAGTCCGAGAGGCAGATGTTGAGATTGGAAAAGGCCTGTTTCGGCAGCCTCCCGTACCCAAGCTCGAGAAGGTCTCGCTTGGTCCGCAGGGCTTGATCAGCCAGCTCTGAGCAAACACTCTTTGCAAAGGCCATCCCTGGATTCAATGTCAAAGCCGGGACCAAGGCTTGCCAGAAAGCAGGATCCAACATGTCCGGACCAGGTTGATGGTAGAGTTGGAGCAGGCGACGATGCATCGGATGATCGTCTTGTTCCGGGTCTGTGAAGTCTTGCGCGACCTCCCTGGGTTCGCTTCCTTCCAAGGGCTCAGGCAAACCAGGATCTCCAGGCACCTGGGCCTCTGCGCATGGTCTCACCCATGCCATGCGGACGTGTGTCAAGATGGCCGTGCTGTCCGGACGCTCCTGCGCAATGGAACTTGGCTGACATGTGCACGGCGGAATTGCTTTGGGTTTGCGACTTTGGGTGAATCCTTCACATCGAAGCAAAGAGTCCAGCCGTTGTCGCAGTCCCTGATGCAGGATTTCAGCCTAAGGGCTGACGCCCTGCAGGCAACAGCACAAAGCCCAAGTTGAGCACATCTTCGGCAGTCCGATGACTCCACATGCATGACCAAGGCACTTGTAAAGTCCACCGTCAGAAGCAGTCGTGGTCTTCAAACACACCCAATCGTCGTGGCCCCCTAACAGAACCACAGGCCCACTGCTACATAGCAGCTTCTCGTCTTCATCGTACAGCTCGGCTTGCACCTGCATGCCCTGAACAGAACTCATCTCCAGCATGCACCGGTGGGATGCCTTCAGGGGCGAGCGCTGACCACCAGCCAAGAAACCGAACAACATCTTAGTCAGCGATGCATGAATCAAATCCAACATCGCCTCGTTGGCAGCCGAAAGGCAGAGGTTGGTCGATGACAGGGGTGTAGCTGCATCGTTGATGTCGCCATGGCCGACAAAGATGCGAAGTACCACCATGGCAGTGTTGGAGACTTGCACGAAGCATGCATGTTTTGGACGGGCAGTGGAGTAAATACTTGGAGGGATGTAGAGAGTTCACACGATATGCTTCTGCTTATCCTCCGCTTGGCCTGAATCTCGCAACGCCAAGTCAAACTTGCTCACCGTAGCATTGCATTCGATGTGCATGCCAGTGTATGCGATAGCCCCTTCCTGTGGTCCAAAAGCGCGGGGCTGCCGGGGCTGCCAGCTGCTTCGCTTCGATGTTTGGGTCTACGAGGATTGCACTCGGCACGCCGGGGTACATCGTGAGCTTGTTTGTTCGTCGGAAAGTGCCTAGCGACTTGCCCTTTTGACACGTAGGTACTGTAAAGGTTGCAACCTCCGCCTCATTCTATCATGCAGCTGTGGCACGAAGCGGCCCTCCCCGTTCAAGATCGCCTGCACAAGGCGAGCTCCCCGACCTCCCCAACGAAAGAAATGCCTCCTTGCTACATACCTTTTCGTATGTGATCATAAAAGTGAACCGATGACCATTGCCACACTTTCTTGAGTTTGTCCAAAGTCCAGAGAATCGAAAGCTCTTAGCTGCCGGGTCGCGAGATGCTGAGGTATGCCAAGGGTGTAAGTGAGGAAAGGGAAGGAGAAATGGTGCATACTTCGTCAGGAACCAACACGGGCCTGGTCTGCTGATTAATGCGGATGCTGAATAGTGGAATGTCATTCCCACCGCGCCCAATGATCCCAATGGGGCTATTTCATTTCTTTGGTATACTGCGTGAAGCCGTATGGTGCGGCACGACGTCGCGCTGTAAAGCACGCGAGGCATGTAGTAGCCGTAGCCCGGCTTAACCTTTAGAGGGAGCCTGGCTGCACGGCAAGATCACGATTTCGTTGCGCCTGGCCCACTGCCCCTGGGGCGGAGCCGACGAACCGCGCCCCATCGTTCCAGGCAACCCGGCAGCCGTTGGACCAGCATGTAACGCCTTAGGTGGCCAGAGTGGGTGCTTTCTCCCCCCCGCCCGTATGCCGAAAGCCAGAGTATCCCATCATATCCCTTCGACATGAAGAAGCTTGGGCCAAGTTGCGATGCACGGCAGCATCCCAGAAGCCTGGTCAGGAGTCAGGGACATGATGCACGCAGAAGCGGTCTAGTTCCTACCACACCCCGGGTCAGCTTCGGAGAGCTCGCGGAGTCACACATGTGACTACAGTGAATGCAGAAGTGCAGCCGGAGGCCTGTACTGTACCCTGCCAACCCTGCACCGGCAGCGCTTACGCCGCTGGACACCGAGTGCCAGGTGTGGTGGAAGAAACCTTGCAGGATGCATCTGCAGACAACCACGAGTCTGGCACATTAGCATGCTCTGACGGCTGTTTCGCATGGGTTGAACTGCAGCAAGTGGCCGCCAATCGGCTCCAGCAAAGACTCCCTGAATGATGGCCTGCGAGTTGTGCACGCGTTGCACACTTTGAGATGATTCCGACCCCTTGGCTGCATGCGGGTGCTGCACGGGCCTGTATTGCCACCAGCTCTGGATGATTATAAGTCTCATTACTGCTCAAAGACAGCGCGGCTGCTTCAGGGACTCATGCTCTTCTCTCTAAATGATATAATTAACATGGCTTCCCATATCTTTACGTGAGCAGGGTCCTGGAACTGGTAGGCCTTGCTGCTATCAGCGCTGAGCCTTCACGGCGCAAGCCGTCACGGAACCTGAGCGACCGGAAACAGACTGACCATTTTTGCCCGAGAGATCGTCCCAACGGCAGGATGGCAGTGCAAGAGTTTTCACTGCTTGTGCCCGTCGCGCTGTGCTCGCTTGATGAAACGAACAGCTCTGCCAATGTCCGCTCGACTGCAGGAAACCGTCACGCATGTGTGCGACATTGTCACCACACGGGTTGTTCGCGTCGTTCGGTCTCCGATGGTGTGAACCTCCGGCAAGTTCACCGACACGGCCTGACGTCTGTAGTGCACCTTTGAACCTGTAAGCGCCCTTCACATCATGGCGACCTTGCGCTCTAAATACGACGCAAAGAAGTCTTCGTCATCCCAGTCGTTCCGCAAAGGTTGAATCTCGCACAGTGCATTTTGATATGTCGCCTTTGCCTGCTCGCCCAGGCTTTGCATTTCCAGTGCCGCGCCCCGTGCTTCCAAGGCCAAAGCGGCCTCGTGTGAAAGGCCTCCGGCCAAAGCAACTTTCAAGAAGGAGTGCCACTGTCCTGCAGCTTCGACTGCTCTTGCAGGTTCAGCGCGCCACAAGTACGCTTCAGCAGCGTCGCGAGCGATGTCGGCGGCCAGCCAATGCGAGGAATCTTTCGTCTGTTGGTACAGGTCCAATGTCCGCGACATCCAACAACTGCGACGCAAGCGGCCTCCTCGCTCTTGCCAGATACGCTCTGTCCCGAGGCCAAGTGCAAATCGTCGCATCCGGGCATCCTCAGCAGCTTCTCGCTCCTTTGGCAAGTCCGCACGCTCACGCCACCAGCGACTTTCGATCTTCTGCAGCATTCGACTCAGTTTTTTGTAGCTCGAAAGCCCCGAAGGCCAGGAACCTGCCAGCAGACCTGTCTCTGAGGATGCGCTCAGCGTCCACTTGCCATGTCGAATTTGACGAGTGTCATCACAAAGAGCGGTACAACGCGCACAGGTACACATGAAGCCCCAGGAACGCAAGTAACGCTGTCGACTTCTGACAGGCTGCTTCAAAAGCCCTTCCTCTATATATGAAATCGTGATCTCCTCCCCTTTGGAGATGGCACGCAAAGCCACGAAGCGGATCCGATACTGGCAGCACGACTGTTGGCTTGATAATCCCGATGCTACTGAGACCCGTATAGCTGCATTTGGTGCGCAGCTATGATTGACGTAGGCAACATGCTCGAACAAGCCTGCCCAGCCAGACGGCAGCCCCGAGCAACACACCTCAAGAGTCAGGAGGAGCCGGCGATTGGTTTCCGTCAGAGAAAGACCAGTGTTCGGCAGCTCCAGGATCTCTGGGCAGTAGAAGCTCAAAATGTGCTGTTGCACGCCGATTGGAAGATCTGCAAAAGCCTTCATCGCATTCAAGCAGTTGTCCCGCGGAGATCCTCCGCGCTGCCACGCAAGTAAAGGCAGCTCCCGCCAAATCACCTCTCCTACATGGCAATCCCCCGTTGCCACCAGCCGTCGCCCGTTCGGAGTAACATCCAGCCGCAAGAGTCCTTGCGTCGTTGCTGCGTGGCTCTTCTGTTCGGATCGCCGGCGTCTGAGTCGACCCGTCTGCCCAAGTGTCGCAGTCACAGCAACAGCAGCTACACTAGAGCGCGCTTGCCCAACACCTTTGGACCAGCGAGGCTTTACAGTGCCGTGAAGGACCGGTGTGCCTCCAACTACAGCTCCACATGCTTTTGCTGCTTCGGGTCTTTGATCTCGAAGGCATGAGAACATCGTCAAGTCAAAAGGTGGGAAAGGCTGCGGCTTACTCTTTCCGCGCCACCGAGCATACCAAACCACTTACAGCATGAATCCCGACGCTATTCCTGCTGCCTTCATCGTTCCCGCTCCCTTGCATGGACACCGTGATGCTGAGCCTCCGACTCTTCCAATGAAAGCTCCCCGCTGCCATCCCTGAAACAGACGGGCATTGAAGGGCTTTTCCGACGCTAAGCTTGACGGTTGAAGTAAAATCCCAACGTAGCCCTGCAAGCCGCCGGATTCCTGGTTCTAGTTCAAGTAGACTAGTAGGAGACGTGGCTGCCTATCCCAGCGCTCAAAGATCTCCTGGATGATCGCCATCTCTGCAAAGCCCTCAGTATCGCAAGAAAGCCCTGGCTTCTGATTCTGTGCTCACGCAAGGCAGGCAGCTGCTGAGCAGCTGGCGCGAGGCGCATCGGCGCCGTAGGCTGAAATGTTCCTGAACCAGCAGAGATCAGCTACGCGTGATGCGTGGAGGTGAGGGTGCTTACAAGACACGCATTCCAGCTGCCCCAAAGCTCGTCTTGCGACAATGTGCAGGTCCTCCCAGAAGGATGTGTCGAACAAACTGTGCGATCTCTGGCAGACGGTACCGATCGGTGCCGGATCCTGCAGCGCCGCCTCTGCGGGATCACCGCGCGCCCTGGCAGATGCCTTCCAACAAAGGCCTCCTCAAAGGTCAAGGCCCGGAGAAGGAGCTCTTTTCTGCGACCATGGACATGCTTCCCAACCATCCCACTTCCTGACCCAACGCCGCGAGCCCCGCTGCCCAGGCGCCCCAGGCGCTGCGCCGACGCCCCATGGGGCCATGGATAGAAAGACAACCTTAACCGCCCTGGATGACTTATGCAACGGCTTGTCTTGCGCTCTAATGTAGTGGCTGGTAATGTTGTGGTCCGGTGTGGCTGACCCTTTATGCGTTTCAATTCGTCTCAGTGCTTTCATCAGAAGTTGGAGCCCGAGCACGCATGTGTGAGCAAACGACACGACCAGCCGACCGTCAAGGTGGGGACGATGTCATGACAAGAATCGGCAGACTACAGTATGCCAAGCATTGCCAAGCCTACTTGAAGCGGCTCTGTCTCTGGCCTGGTCGAACGAAGCGGCCGCTGCGGAAGGAAGCTGCCTGACACGAAAGCTTTCGACAACGACACTAACACTAGTGACATGCATCCGGCAACGAGACCTGGTGCAGAAAACATCAAAGCTCCCGTGGCATCTGCTCTAGCATTGGTTTCCTTCCGCGAGCCAATGGCCCAGCTTCTAAGCCAGCTCCTCCGAAGACATGGATGGACATTGGTAACTCCTGACGGGCTCTCTAAGCCACTAAGCCTCGCTAAGAGAATTCCAGAAGCTCCAGCTCCCCTTAGCCGACTTGGCCCCTGCTTGCCCGACTGCCCGACGTGCCCACCCTTCCTAGGAGTTCGCACTACACACTACGCAGGTTCAGCAAGCGCATCATCTGATGTGCGCTGTGGAGGTGAGACCAAGGAAAACCTTGAAGCGGTGAAGCCGTACTTACCGCACTCTCCGCCACAAAGGATGCTTTCCGTGACGCTTTGCACGAATTCAGCTGAAACCGCCCAGGCAGAAAGCAACAATCATTGCTCCGCCCTTTCGCACCACCGGCGTCGGATCTTTCCTCCTCTCTCTTATCTGTATCTGTAGACTTACAATGCGCTACATCGTAAGCCACCGGTGATGTGTAGAAAAAGTCGGCTCCAGCACAGATCAAACGTTCCACGAGAAACGACAAACGGGCACAAAGATGTGCAAACCAGTCCCAGACTGCTGCAACAATGCGTGAAGTACTGGATATTGCACATGGTGTAGACTCTCAACGGGGAAGGGGAGCAGTTGCTTGTAGTACCCGCGACACTTACAATTCCCCAGCCGGCTCTTGCAACACTGCAAAAGCTGCTGGTTGTGGTGGCAACCCTCGATGCAGAGTGTATTGCTCACTGAGCGTTCCTGCAAGCGGAGGGATCCATGCTCTCTGAACTCACCAAGCCACAGATGAGAGCCTGCTGAGGATTCCACTCCCCGCCTTCGGATTGCACTCTGTAAATGGCCAGGTCACTGTTGGACTGACCCGCCACAAGCAAAATACTGTCATCGTGGACCAACCTGCAAGCATTGAGGCAGTGTTGGAGCTTCTCGCGTAGCATTGCCTGCAGCACCTCTAGATGCTTCTGAGCATGGCACGTCATGCCGCGCGGATACGCCGGCGCCTTGATCTGCTGTATCTCCTAGCATCAGAAAAGGAATAAACCAACCACAACGAAGAAGCTGTCATGTGGACCGCCATTCCGCTTGGCTCCTTCAGGTGGCCATTGTCAAGGATACGGAAGGCAGTGACCTGAGTCTTTGGATGTTCAGGAATTAGGCGGACTTTCTTGAACACTCCATGCATCTCTCTAGACCCAGGGCCAGGCAGTGTTGGACGAGTCCTTCGCACCCCGGTTCGAAGCATATAACGTCGTTCCGGAAGCCAGCATCGTGATCTCGGCAGCTTTGCTGTCTTCGTCTGCGTCTTCCAAACGTATGGTGTTGATCTGTCGAAGGCTCAACCGGCCGTCATCAAGCTCCTGCATGGGGTGCCAAGCTCAGGCTTCGGAACTGTGCATGTGCATGAGCGTTCGAGAGCTTGTTTGTTGGTTCTGGTGTATGTGGGTGCTTCATTTTCTGGTGTGTAACTTCCGCCGAGTACCAACAAACCGTTTAAACGCAACGCAGCTCACATTTCATGCATGGTGTGTTGCAAGACTTTGGCTGGCCAATGCTCCACACTTCAGCGTGGCTCCGGCAGCCAAGAACTTCAGGTATCAAGGCAGCCCCCGGCTCCTGGTAAACAAGGACTGCCCTGCCTTAGCAAACCAATACCCGAACTCGGGGAGTCGCAGAGAGGAAAGGTCTGGACAATCGCCCAGAACCCTTTCAGGCAAGCTGCTCATCTCACAGATGACGTACAAGATCGGCAGCGATTGGTGCTCCATTCCGTGCCGTGGACCAGATGCCGGAAACACCTTCGAAGGCCGCCGCTTACAAGTGGTCTTTGAGGCTTGTGAGGCGCGCGCGCGCGCACCGTACGTACAGTACCATGATGCCACTGACACTGACACTTACCCATGCACAATCATAAATCGCAACAAGCAAACATCAACATATCCAACACAAACACCTGCGAATGCCTGCCCGCAGAATCTGTATGCATGCACTCCTCCATTCTATGCCTTCCATGCATTTCATCATACGCATCACAGTCTGTCTGCATAGCTTCCACATCCAAAACACACTTCCTGCAGCGCTGCATCCATTTCTACACTGGCGTCAAGCCCGTGATAGTTCAGTACAGTGCCCTGCCATGTGGCGTCACTTCCTTCCGCAACCACACTGCGGCACACGAGCAACTCATCAGCTTGAAGGCTGAACCAACTAAAGCAATGAATCAATGGGACATCCATGCACTGCGTGGCCATGCCGTATCATTATCATCGGAAACGTGCTTTTTTCGCATCAGATCTTCGGCATCGTCGCACAGGGTGTGCCCATATATCGTCTACTTCGTCAACTGCTTTGACAACATCCCCGAGGCCTGCGTTCGCTGCAGCTCCTGCAGCTGGCCGGTGTCAGAGAGCCTCGAGAATTTGGGAGATTTCTATCCCGCCGACATTGTGATGAAGAGTCTCTATGGGCCCCCAGTCTGCGATGGCAGTCAGCCGCTGCAGAACAGGGGATTCGAAAACTAGTCTAGCGCCCATCCGCAAGCCAAGCCAGACATATGTGATTCTGAACTAGGTGACTAAGCTCTTCGCTAGGGCCGTTGCTCGCGCTTCTTTTTTGGATTTCAAGCTCATGTTGCAGCCGGGGCGCTTGTACGAAAAGATCACGTCCATACCCAGGTCGAAAGCATAAACTAGGTTGTGCCTGGAGGACACAACCAAGCCATGTGTGTGCGCAGCAAGCTGGCGAGAAGAGTCCACTGAGGATCCTTGATGTTTGACAATGCTGGTCGGTGTCAGCTGGCAATCTGGTTGTATCCTGAAAGCAGTCACGCCAGCACCCAAAGGATCGTCATTGGAGTTGTAGTTTGCCACGAGCAGAAACTTTTGATCCAGGCTCGGGATTGCGAAGACCGGTGTTGAACCACCAGATGGCATGGACTGAATCGGTTCAAAGGCTGTCAGCGAAGAGCCTGGGTCTTGCAACACGCGAATCTGGTGGTTGTCGAGAGCGGCGAACATGCACTTCTGGTCGAGATCATCCGACTCAATGACAGTGAGCCACAGCGGCAGTCCGCCAACGTCCACATGCAACTGAGGATTGGGAACGACGAACCCATTTCTCAGAACCTAAGCTTGCCGGCACATCCAATCCATTCACCTACGCTCTCGTCAAGCTCACAGCACCATTCATAAATTCGGCTCAACCGGTTTTACCATCTCCAGGAAACGTCGTAAGCAAAGAGCTCACTGTGTGGTTGATTGCTGTTGTGACAAGAGATGTCATCCGCATCGCAGCCTGCGGAGCCCACGTAGACCTTGGCATTACATCGCGGGACCCCGGTAATTGCAGCGTTGACCTGGACATGCTAAGCTTCGAATCTATCCAACCCTTTGTCACCACAAGTTGCCAAACTGCCACAGCTTTCGCTCTTGCCCTAGAAACGACGAGAACCCAGTACGCTCTCGAAGCAGCCATCTGATTCAGAATTCAGCTGGCTCTGGAAGACTTGGAGGGCAGCTTGCTGAGACAGTATCCTGTAACCTGTCATATCAGGGGACGATCATTGACGCCTGGCTCACCCATGTCCACGTCAACAAAAGCAAGGATAGGCGGTGCATTGTCAAGACAAGCGCAGACAACTCAATGTGCAAGGCAGTCTGGCTTGGAACTGCTTAGAGAATAGCGGCATCCATAGCTTAGCTTCTCGAGGCTAGCAGCTACAGTACCACGTCCAAGAAACACCTCTGCTACATGTAAATGAGCAGGAGGCGGCGGACAAACGGAGCGTAAAGCCTGATGCAATTCGACTTACTTGGAGCGGAAATGAGCACAACTGCAACTGCCCGACCTCGACGTCGAGTGCCCCTGCATGTAGTGCAGCTACTATGTAGCAAGACGGGTCTTGAGAGCACTCTCAAAGCGCACCTGGTCCTCTGCAGGCTGGTGGACAGTCTCGTCTCGGGGAGTCCCAGGCCCTGACCAGAAGCTGTTGCTAAGCCGCTAAGCACCTCGGACCTCGCATGGAAGCGGGAAGCCCCCTGTCAGCCCCCTGTCTCTGTCTTTTCTCAGTGGAACATCCACGTTCAAGGCGGCCTCGAGGCCAGCAAGAACATGGGTCTGTGCGCGTCATGAAGCCTGGGTCTCCAAACTACCAGGCGGATCCCGAGCCCAGGGATATCCAGGGAACGGACTGTACGACTGTACGACACCGTACGACATGACATGGCACCCCAACGTCTCGAAAGGTCGGCTCCTTCGGAAGTTGGCGTGCCATTTACATCAATCACGGAAAAGATCTGGGAAACTACCGCACATCTCAGGCCTCGAGCCCTAAGCAGCGGCAATCTAGACATTGCAATGTGTGTCGAGCAGGCGAGTAGCTTTACAGTCTCCACCGTTAGTTCCTCAGTATCTCGGAGGATCTGCAGGCAGAGAGACTCCACCATGGCCCGAATTACGAAGGCATGCAATCATGGGTCTACACAGAGTGGGATCGTCTGCGAACCGGTCGGGTAGACGTGTTGAAGTGGACGAAGGTTCTCTCTACTGGAATTGCTGTCGTCAGCAACCGTGTTTGCATCTCGAGATGCTCGTCCTGAGCCACTTCATGCACATGCCACCCGAAGGAGCAACAGGGATTGACACGACTGCAAGCCAAGTCTCTTCCCGTGTAGTGGAATCACAACCCGCGCTCGCCTCACTGCTGTCCTTGGCACTTGGCCCTAGCGCTACCGAAGGCCCATGATTCCTAGGTGGGCCAACATGTTTCTTACGAGGGGTGTGGAAGCTGGTGCAATACGCTGAAGGCAAGCTGCAGGATTGGAGGAACTGGCCATGCTTTCATCCGACGCTTGGCTGGTCAGCAGCGCTTGCCTCCCAGCCGCACCACTTGAGAAAGCTTTAGATTCAGCCTGTAGAAGCGTAGAGGATTCTCGTTCGCTGCTAAGCAGCCTTTCCAGGTCCTTCAGGACTTCTACCGCTTCCGCAAACTCTGCTTTGGTGAGGATGGAGCCCAACTTCTTGTGAAGGCGCTGCCGGATGCGTCGCTTCGAAGAACTGCAAGTTGTCTCCTGGCGCTGCTCAGCGGACATATGACAGTGCCGAAGCATCATGACGTATCATGACACTTCTTGCCGAGTCTCTGTCATGGCAGCGACGGCCGCCGCCGTCAGCCTTCCCACGTTGGACTTGCAGAGGCGGATGTGACTTCGGCGCGGCCGCGGCTTTGTGCCGGGGGCTCCTCGGTCCTGGGAGGCAGCCTGCACCTGCACTGCCGTGTGAGAAGCGAAGCACATTCCGAAGGAAGGGTTGAAGGGATGCAGCCTTTTCCAACTCGGTGAATTCGTGCTGTGAGCCCACGCCAGCAGGTCATCACAGAAGAAATCCCGTATGATTCCGTTAGTTTTCGCTCGGAGACAAAGCAAACACAGCAAGTGTTCAATGCAGCCTTTGCAACCCATTGGCCTCTGCCGCTGGGTCCACTTATGCCTCAAAAGAAACGGAGCAGACGGAGCCCAGACGTCAAATGTCCACTGTGCCTCTCAGCCTCTCAGACTGTGACCGGATCCTGCCAGCAACTTCTCCCAGAGATCTCGACTGCGGCAAAGAGCGGACATGAGATGACATGGGACATGCCTGAGAGGAACCACAGAGTCGTGGGAACTGAGGAAGCTTTGCAAGCCGCATGCTGACTAATCGTTAAACTGTTCAACCATTACTTATTACTGTTACCGTGTTGCTGGACGAAGGCTCGTCTGTTCCGGCCTTGCCCCGGCAGACTCCTGCCCAGTCGGAAATCAGCACGGATCATCTCAGATCAACCAAACCCTTACTCAAATAGTCTTGCACACGCGCAAGAGACATAGAGGCTGTGCAGCACTGCAGCAGGCAAGCACTCCCTCTTTACTCGCCACATCGGCGACAAGAGACCGTGAAGATGCGCGAAGCATCGCCGGCTCTCGTCACTCTTGACTGTACACTTAATCTGATCCGCACCAAGCGCCTGAGCGCCTGAGCATCGATTAACTGTGCAGCAAAGTCGCTAAGTTTCTGTGAGACTTTGCCAAGGCCCAAGCCTCTGCAGTATCACCATCACAGTCCTTCAACGAAACATCGGCCCTTGCTCGCAGCAACTCTGCGCACGTCTCTTCGTCACCCGCGTCTGCAGCAAACATGAGAGGAGTGGCGCCCTGTGACGTAGGGAAATCTACTGCTGAACGCCCTTCCTCAGAGCTCAACAGATTTTGAAGCAGTGCAAAAGCGGGGCCTCTTTTATGGGCGGGCGAGGTGTGACAGCATTGGCATCCGACTGCATGCTCCTCTTTCTGCATTGAGGCAGCACCTGCAGCGCCGGCAACGTGTACGACCCAGTGCAGGAAACCCCATCCGTCTTCACCAAGACAGCACAAATCTGCCTTTGCGCCCCGTTCCTGGGCAACCGCAAAGTTGCCTGCCGCAATAGCCCGCATGGCTTCCTTGGCGGACTCTGTCCGGTCTCTGTCCAGTCCATCTTGGGCATCCTCCACGGGGCCCGCCAGCAGCGAATCCGGCTTCTGGGTTTTCTGGGCCGATTTGGCCAGCAAAGCCGCTGCCTGGTCCGGCTGGAGATTCGCCAAATATCTGAGAACCTGCTCCTCCGAAAGCTCGGCTTCAGCCGCAGGAAGTGCCATCCTTGGCCTCACTCAGCCTGCACCATTGCTGCCGGCCGACCAACTGACAGATCGTAAGAACAACACTAGTGAACCTAGCTGTGCACGAATGCTTCGTGCTAACAAGCCGCTTGCATTGAAGTCTTACAGTGCCTCTGCCTTCAAGAGCTGTAGTATTAGGTTACGACATTCCGAACAAGATAATTACCAACTGATGAATGGGAGATCAAGAAAATCATAAGGACCGAGTTCATCCGTGTCTTCTTCGTGAGTTCTGGGTGAGATGCAGAACTCGTATCGTGCATACGCCGGCTGCCCCGCGCTACCACTGTACGTATAAGCACCGATCGTGCCTCCGCAGTCGGTGCAGCCTGGCAGAAACTGCACAGAAGTACCGTCTGGGAGGCTTGGGGAGGCTGTGGATACTTGTTGATCCACCTGTTCGGTCCCGATCTCGCAGAGTGAGGACGTGGAGCTCGGCGTTTCCTCAACGACTTCGACATATCCGTGTTTCGCATTGGAGTAAGGCCGTGACCACCACGTGGATGCCAGACATTCGCCGAACCCCTCCGCAGCGCCAAGCCGCTCAGCTACTCAAGCATTGGCTATGGCGCGACAGCACTGCGCACCTGACCCAGGCACAGTGAGCAGGGGTCGCGTCGGCCGTCGGCTTGGTGGCTGAAACGGGACGACCTTAGCATCATATACACATATATATGGTACCCCCCCCCAAAACCCACGCTTTGCTGTCAGGTACTCTCGACTTGCCCAACTTCATCGGGGCATGGATGCAGCTGCAATAACGTTCAGGGTCTTTCAGGGCTTCGCGACGTGTAAGTATCTGACGCTCAAAGGGCCTCGCCGTGACGGGTACTTCAGCGGATTTGCGGATTCGCAGATTCGCGGATTCGCGGATTCGCAGATTCACAGATTCGCAGATTCGCGGATTCGCAGATTCGCAGATTCGCAGATTCGCGGATTCGCAGATTCGCAGATTCGCAGATTCGCAGATTCGATTCGCAGATTCGCAGAATCCCAGATTCGCAGATTGCCAAATCGCAAAGGCTATACAATCTGCGAATCTGCGAATTTAAGACTCTGCAAATCTGCGAATCTGCAAATCTGCGAATCTGCGAATTTGCGAATCTGAAAACCTGCGACTTTGTGCCAACCTGTGAAACATCATGACATCCAGATTTCGTTTCTGTCTCAAGCACAGAGGCTGATACATGTGCGCATAAAGGAATCTGGTAGTGCCAAGGCAGGAAAAATGTGTTGTTCCGGTGTGTAAAGACCCTGTTTGCTTCTTTTCAACATAAATCCAAATAACGGCATCATTCAGAAAGTTAACCTATGTGAAAGCTTTTTGTGGCTTCTTCATGCCTGTGGTTAATCAGATTACATACTTGAAATACTAAGTAAACATCCCATTCTATAGTGTTCTGCTTATATCTTCATTTTCATTTGTCACGTGCCAGACTAGTTGTCTTTTGGCCATTCATCAGTCCAACTCATGTATAGGAACCCACTATCATTGCCAAAATGAAGCCTCTAATCTGCATGCGGGCGTATCTAAATGCATGTGGGTTAAATTTCTGCTTATATCAAGATAAGGAGCTAGCCATTTCAAACGGTTTAAGCACACATTTAGTCTACTTGCTGCCAAGCCGAGTAATAGTTTTTCACCTTTTGCATTCTGACAGCCCTATGCCAGAGGCAAGCAATTGAAAACATATGGGTTGGTGAATGGATGCACTTGTCCCGTGACTGAAACATGACCAGACCATGGTAATGTAGAGAATTAGCTAATTCCAGGTGCTTACACAGTGTATGTCACAGTATTATGTATACATAAAAACGTTGATTTAACCAGTCACCTAATCAACTTATTGGCAATATTTGTTAGTGGTATATCCGTGCTTTCTTAATTTAGTTTATGATGGAAGTTATGACAGTAAACTGAACGAGTTGTTTGGCCCCTGCTTGAACTAACCCATGTAGCACGCCAGCGATTTTGCGAGTATTATCACGGATACAATGCATACTACGAGCCAGGACGAGGGACTGGTGATATCAGTGGCCAGCAGAGAAATCTACTACGGATTACTAGTACTCATACCACCACTCAAGCTAAACGAAATGCTCTGGGCGTTGGGACGATGGTAATCTCTGACGCCAATACTCGTAATAATGTGGGAGCAGGTAATGCTAGGAGCTAGAGGATTACGGGCAGCCTTGGTTTCGAGAATGTAGTGCTGCGGTGACTTGCAGGCCGCAGGCCACAGACATGTAGAATTTCAGGGTTCGTGGGCTGCAAAACAGGCCGAACCCAAATCCCGCATAATGTTCTGGATGTCGGGCCCAATACTAATTTCAATTCTCAGGGGTGACTTCCTACAACGGGAAAGGATTAAGCCGATGTAGGGAAATTAGCTTGTCAATGGTTCTAGAAGACAGCAGGCTTCTCATCCAAATCATGTCAGATTGTGCAATGAGTCAGTTAATCAACAGCTAGATTCGTTCAAGGGGACCTGGAACCTACACCCAGGGCTTCGGGACTAGGGCTTAGGGCTTAGGGTTCAGGGTTTAGGGTCTAGGGTCTTTAGGGCTTAGGGCTTACGATGGAAATTGAGATTTGTCTGTCTGTGTGCCAATTAGAAACACTCCTTTTCCTTTTCGATGTTTTCTCCGGAGTTTGTTTGGCTATCTGTTCCTGTTTGGCTGGCTCATACAAACAATAATTGAGGAAATACGTTTTGCGGAACTTCCAACGAAGCAATCAGTTCTTATAATATGGCAGTGAGGAAGGGGAAAATTGAATATAGTGGCTCTTGGTCTGAAATATTGGCCAGCACGGAAAACAATGTTTAATTTTTGGGTGGCTCAAAATATGATATAGGTGAAGAAATTGGAGAAGTTGGGAAGGTGGGCTCCCACCTGCTATGAGCAGAATTATATCAAACAAATACATGTATGATGCGGTGTTAATACTTCGCTAGATTATCTTAGATATATTGTGTTATGCGTAATTCCTAATAGTAATTGTGCTAGTACTGTATCAAATTGTCTAAAAGTTTACAAAGAATATTTACATTTCTTGCTCCAGGGCAGACAACAAAACAATACTTCACTAGATTATCTTGCTTATATTGTGTTTTGCGTAATTTCCTAACATTATTTGCAGTAATGCTGCGTCAAATTGTTCAAACATTTGTATAAGAATATTCATAAATCTAGTTATTAAGCAGATAACAGCAATACTTCACCAATACTTCACTAGATTATCTTGTCTACACCGTATTTTGCACACGCGTGGATAGCACATGTAGGAATGCTGGAGTGAATTATCAGGATCTTTTACTACTTCTTGCGGGTCTTAGGGGGGGGGGGGTAGAGCATATATATATATATATATATATATATATACAGAAAGCGTCGTATGCATTTATGCTTAAATATGTGTGTATATATATATACACACACACACGTTTGTATGGATGCATACATTACATATATGAGAGTGTGTGTCTGTGTGAAAAAAATGTGTATATATATATATATACACACATATATGTAGATAGAGACACATGACACACATGCCTTGGTTTGCGTGGGCAGAACAGTTGCATGGTTGTCATCATGGGTGTCGTGTGTTGATATTTCATTGCATATAGATGATACATATGTACACACATGTCACACAGACACATCCATCACTCATGCATGCTAGTGATCTGTGCAATGCAAGTATTTTGACATGTGTCCAACCCGCTCCAAAGACTCTAGACTCTTGAAACTTCCAGAAAAAGAGAACCACTCGAAATGCGCTAGAGTCTAGAGAAGTAAACGCTCGAACAGGACAAGAGCATTGCAGAGAGCGACGCGAAACCGCCCAACAGAATTGGAGAGGAACATAGCCGTAACATAAACATGTTTTGTCACTCGCACCCGACAGGCAGGCGAGGTTTCGGAGGATTCCAACCTTCACTAGGTACATTCGCAGACCTGATCTGTTCACCAAGTTCACTCGCTTTTAGCACATTGGCCAAAGCCTACATTGGCCTACATTAACAAAGTCCCACCACCATCATCACTCGGTATTATACGTTTCATGCCACATCCCTTTCTCCAGTTCGTCCCTAAGTCCCCAAGGCTCATGTTACGTGCAATTTTTGTCACTCGTGCTCGAACAAATCAGACGAGGTTTTGAGGGAAACTTTACAACCAGCGGAAACGTTTCGTCAACATAGACATACATTACGTGTAAGCAGTGGATCCGAATCGTGTCGTGCGTTTTTCTGGCTCGAATCCCCCACGCATGCATCTGAACTGTGGTTGTGAATCTGCGAACTCGGGGCTGTGATGGGAAAGCGCGATTAAGGGCGCCCGAGTGCACAAGTGCGAGGCGCGAGTAGCGCCGGGTGAGTTGCGTCGGGCATGCGCGAGTGTGTTTGCGAAGATGGGGGCCATGCGGATCACACACAGCACTTTTCCGGATACTCCCCGGCCCGCTGTTCCTGGCGTCCGATTGGGCTGCTACTGGTTGGAAGCGGCAATGTCGCCAACGATCGGCATGCTCTCCACGATAGCCAAGGATTGACGGATCGCTTCCCTCGGGAGGGCTGACGAGTCAACAAGGGAGCAACCCCAGATTTCTTCATCTGGTAGCCCGCCGCGACCGCTGCCTGCCTTCACTGTCGTTGTGCGCGCGGCGTAGACCGAAGTTAAAGTCTTGAAGCGGACTCTTCGTCTTGACGGCGATCGCAAAAATCGGGATCTGCCAAACGGTTTGGAGAACGTGGCCCATCTGTATCTGTGGTGGTGCGCACTGCAACCGCTGAAGCATCTCGAATTCATCAGCCGGGAGCCGATCCGCATCTTCGACAAAGCCACGCCGATCCAAGGCTCGGTGAAATCAAGGCAGTGCTTGGCGTGAGCATGATCATGTCGCCGTGAGAGTCAGTGAATCGACCGGAGACCGAGCGTTCCTCAATTTTCAATGCTCGCTAGCTGTGTCCACGATCCATATACCACCTTGCTTGAATTCGCTGCGCTTGAGAACGGCATTAGGAACTTCATCCTTCAAAGATTCACGATGAGCTGTTGGAGCTTGGTTTCCGAGCCAAACTTCGATCGTTTTCTGCACCTCTTTCCAGTTTCCGTGGCTCTTGAAGCCTGCCACGCCTCGGCGTCGATAGGCTCCGGCGAAGAAGGCTCCTTGTACGTCCTGCGGTTTGTGCTGACATGACACAGGGAGCAAATGCACGAGGACAGTGATCAAAGATTTTCGGCGGATCGCCTTGAGCCAAAATGGCAGGGCAATCGCCCGATAAGAGCTGCTCTATCGAACCAAAAGATTGATTCCTAAATTCCAACCAACCTAGCTGAAACTTCAGGAACATAATCCTAGAACCCGTCGGGTCTTGGGTTAAAGTATGAGCTTAGGGCTTTACATGGTTTTACAAGCCTCGCCCCGGCCTGCAGGAAGTGCATTGCTGATGTTTAAGATGGTTGGATAAGCCTGATACCTGCGACTCTCAGACAAACATCCAGTTTGATCAGTGCGTTACCTGCATGCTTCTTTAGTTGCTTCCGTCCATGCATCAATGCAAACAGGCACCATGTCTCTTAACGCGACCTACAAGCCGCGAGACGCTTGAGTTTCGGAATTGGCCCGGGCTCTCGCCGGCCGGCTTGGCATCGATGGGGAGGGAGGCGCTGAAGGTGTGCCTGACGACATCTGCTCGGGCTGTTTTCGGAAATGCGTTACTCCTGGCCAGGCATACTGAGCTGAGCGGACGGCCTGAATTGGAAGCCACCTGTGGAAGAGACAGTCAACGCCAAGCGCTTCCTAAGGCCTTCCGTGGAAGCACGGCCTCAAGTTCAGCGGCTGGCTGCTCGACGTTCACAGTGCCGCTTGCCTTGCTTCATCATCCTTTCACCCCCTTCGGCAGAACCGCAGCCCACAGTAGCATAGCGGTGCATTGGTTCAAGATCGAGCAAAAGACGATGCCAAGGGGGATATTCAGGGCTCTGGCCTTTGAAGCGCGCTCTCCGAGTCTGTCGCAAGCCAGCTCCGAGGGCTGCAGCGTACGTTCTATGAAGGGCCTCAGACGCATCGCTTGGCGCAGGACATCCAACATTATTTAATGGTGCGAACCCCAAAGCAGCATCAGCATCTTAGCGCCATGTTCATGAAGTTGGAAAGGAAATTGACTGGGTAGCCCGAGATATCATGCAGAAAAGACACTGCACCACACAACCTTTTCGATCTCACGATTGCAACATACGGGTGAGCCCAAAAACGAAAGCCTGGTGGTGTGTCAAGACCGAAGTGTGGCACTTGTCATTGTAATGTACGAAAAGCATCCTCATCCTCTGGAGACTTGCGGGCCTGATGATTTCTGAAGTTCTTTTAGCCTTTCCTTGGCGTCGTTTGGCCTTGGGCACGGCATCACTAGGAACAGGAATGTCCAAGGCAATTGCATGCTTTGCAGAACAGCGAATCTCTGCATAACCATTTCATTCCGATGCTTGTAAGGCTTGGCAACCAGGTCCAAGCTCTGTGTGGACAACATCGAACAAATCTCGCTTATTTACGATCTTATTCCCAACATGCCGTCAACTGCCGGATAACCACATGCAACCCACCTGACCAACCTTCCTGCACTGCAGGACCTCAGGCTGCAACACATGCGACGCTGACCCTGCAACTTCTGTGGCCTCTTCGCGAGTTTTGCAGACTCTTTGCAAACATCTCGACTCGAGGCTGGCCTTATGTGGACGCTCCGCTTCTGACCTGAGGATCACTTCGCCACTTCGCCCTTCAACGGGCAAACGCGCTGACAACAGTCGACAGCGGGCCGCGCCGCCACGGAGCTTCTGGAATTCCGCGCCGCGCGCGCGGGTCCTAGCGTTGGACTGCGTTGGACTCACTCGCAAGCTCATGCCATGCGCCCACCTGGACTCCCATGTCAGATGTTGAACCAAGTCGTTGAAACCTGAAAGCCGTCGCAGTCCGCAAGACCGTGATGTAATTCCTCCGCGGGCTCAGGATTCAACAGCTTCGCCAGATCAGCCTGGCCGATGGTCACGTGGGGGCACAGAGCAGGCCGAGGAAGCAACGATGCGAAGTGCTGCCAGTGCTGCCTCGAGCTTGTCGATGCGCTGCTCGTGATGGGCTGGCCTCGCCTAAGGCCATCCGAGAATCCCTCGGTCTGATTCAGCGCTGATCGCTCTAGCGGTAGCGTCTCTGATTACATCTCGTTCAGCACATGGCCCGCTCCCAGTCGTCAACCTTGCAGTGGCAGCAGACACCCCCTGCGAGCTGATGCGGTGCCACTTGACCGCCGAGTACAGGACATCCCGCAGTGCTCGTTGCAGGTCCTGGGCGGTCGAAGAGGCTGTCAAGGTGCTTCGTGTCGGTGCGGCACAAGGACTCCCTCACTTGCATGAACTTGGCCTTGTAGCCTTCTGAGTGTTTCAGGCGCGATCAGTCCCTGCATCTGCTGATGGGGCTTTTAACACATGTAAGTCCTTCTGAGTCAGCATCCCTATCTCGCACCGATAGGTACATCATGGTACATCTATCTCCCTTCCTCGCTTGTCGGGACCAAGTCGCCTGCAGGCATGCTACAAGTCTCTCTCCTCCCTGTCTCCTTACCTCTTGCCCCTTCCCTCCTCCCTTCTTCCTTCATTGTGCCCCGCCCGAGGCAGGGCGGGTCAAACTTAGGAGTTGGACCGGAAGTAACCTTGCTCCGTGTCCCTCAACCAAGAGCTGCTGGCAGCAGTGGGAAAGCCCATGCATTCATTCGCGATCGGGGGAAGTTGCTGACTACTCTGCTTGATGTGCTGGGTGGATGTGATGTCTCTAGGGGCTCTCGTTCTTTTTGTCCCTGCATCGTCGTCTTCCTATCCCGCTTCAGGGAAGGCAACGCTGAGGCCCTGCGAGGAAACACACCTGCGCGCCCGCTCGTGCACCCAAATCAGTCGGTCTTGGCTCCTGCATCCAAGATATCGCTGTCTCATTCTCTCATCATTCAGCTCCGTCCTTCGTCCTCTTTGTCCTAGCTGGGAGGTTCGAGTGGCGTATGCTCTTGGCTTCGGGCTGCCTCAGCGAGCCTGAGGCGTCCTTCCAAGGCCAAGGCCTCGTTGCGCAGAGGGGAAAAAGTTCTGAGTTGCTGATGGCTGGTGGCGTGGGACACCAGTTGGTCGGGGCCTCCGCCGGGCGGTTTGGCGCACAGGCTGCCATAATCCTGCCATCCTTGAAACCTTGCAGCTGCTGGCCCACCTGGGACGATCTGCCATGTGCCAGGGAGAGACATGCCATAGATCAAGGCAAGTAACTGACACCAAAGCAAGGCTGATGATGCACCTCCGCCTTCAGCTCAGACGTCATCTGCTCAGCTGCCTGGCAACAACTGGGAAACCGCGCACGAATGCATGCATGTGCATGTGCAAGCATACATGCAACATACACCGGTACATAGACACATAAACACAAAGAGAATATGCCTATTTGCATACTGCACCATATCAGACCATTCATACATCACACGCGCACATTGCATGCGTACCATGCAATTGTAAACACTAAACAACATTCATAAACATTCTGTTGCATTTGATTACAACATGGCTATCTGCTTGCATATGGTGCATACATGCATTACACACATGGCATTACATTCCAGTACAATCATCCGTACACACATACCATACTTTCACACATCACAAGCATACATTACCGTCGTCCTGCACTCATGACCTGCGTGGAGGTAAATGGCTAGATAGGTAAGTAAGTTTGTGTAAATAGACAGAGAGACAGATAGATGGGCAGATAGATGGATAGATCGATCGGCAGATCGATAAAGAGACACCTTTGCGCTGGCACCAAATTTGCTAACATGGATTCTATTTCAGCTGGCACCTCCAGAACCTCGGAGTGGCGCTTCGAGAATTGGGCCACGAGCCGCCTGTTGCAGACAGGTGGAACAAGCATCCTCAAAGTGCTGCACTACAGCAGCTGCTGTATGGTATTTTAACATCGTCTCATATAGTTTCTAACATCGTATTTAGGTTACACAGCACTAGAATACATTACAAATTACAGCGTCTCAGATCATCGGGACCTTTGCCCACCCGAATTTTGATTGGACAAAGGCTGTCGAAGGCGCTCATCGCCAAACAAGCAGGCTAAGGCCTACGAGTACGACAGGCAAACTCCGGACTGTAAGCCACTGAAGGGCATATTACAACGTTATGATACGTTGAACTATACGATAAGATACGATAGCATGCAAAGTACAAATGTAGCATAAAAATCTATAAGATCTGTTGCAAGCTGCTATTGCTCTTGTATATAACACAAGGAATAGATTACGACATATTCGAACATTGTGCATACAAAATCATGCAGTTCGAATATACAGCCATCGGACAAAAGGCAATGCTGCCCGTTATTGCATCTCGTGCAACAGGCATTTTGGCGTAAGGACGTGGCCTGTGCCAAAAGCACGTTACCGGGGATAGATTGGATGGGTTTGCGTAGGCACACAACGGCACCCGCCTTGAGCGATCAGGTTCAAGCGGGCACACAGGTTCCGCAGCTTCATCTGTACCCGCCTCCTTTCCCTTCTGTCCGCCTCTGCATTATCCTCGGCCTGTTTCCCCGGAGCTTTGATGCCATCGCACATCACGGCATGCTGATCCTTATTGCATCTGCGTGCAATAGGCATTTTGGCGTAAGGAAACGATAGGAAACGGACTGTGCCAAACGAGCAGTTGCCGCAGCATGTTCTGCAACTGGACCAGGAACGGAACTGCGGTACCGGCGTCAGAGAGCTCTGCCGCAGAATCCACCGGCTGTAAACTCAATGGAAGCTCGAAGAGAATGGGACAGAAAGAACCTGTACCAGAGAGGAGCAGACACTGCCGCCAGCATAGACAGCCCTCCAGGCGGCTCCACGAGCCATGCTGGTGCCTCTCTGGCAGTGACGGATGCACGGTCACCCCGTCCGCCAGGGGCCGGCTGTTATAGGTTGCGGCCGTCGCAGGAACAGAGGCAAGGTAGCCACAGAAGAAGCTGCGTAACCGGTGTGCCCCGCTTGAACCAAACGGCTCAAGGCGGGTGCCACTGCGTGCCTACACAAACACACACGGTCTGTGCTCGGTACCTTGCAGATGGAAGGGCCCATCAACTGCTATATAACTCATATCGTGCATGTCAGCCCAGTCTTGTTGCTCAACAACTGCTTTCCAGCCTCTCCAAGCACCGCAGATCGTGGTCCAGACATGCCTGGACCTGCTCAAAGGCAAAACACAAAACACACACAAACAAACAAACAAACAAACAAACAAAAAAAAAAGAAACCAACCAACCAACAAACAAACAAACAAACAAACACACAAGCACACAAGCACACGCAAACGCGCACCCGCACCCGCACCCGCACGCACGCATGCACGAACGAACACGAACACGCGGCACGCGGCATGCGGTACACGCCCATGCACGCATGCAAGCAACGTGCGCTGCATCCTGCCGCACACAAACGAGCTGTCGTACTGCCGGCTACCCAGAAAATCCCAGAAGTAACAAGCGAGAAGGCAGGCTGCAAGCATCACAAACCAAAGATCTGAAGCAGCTGCCATGTTGTCGATTTTGACTTCGAGGTCCTGTGGGCTGATTGGTCGGTCTGCGCGGCTTCATGCAGAAGAGAGGTCCATGTCCTGGGCCCAACGTCCAGGAACGGAGATGCCTGGGATCGATCAGGCATGGAATTTGACCGTCTTCCAAGCCTTTCTGGTATCTGCACCTTTCGCACTAGACCTGATGAAACATCCCGTCGATCTACGAGTCCGACATCTGTATCGGCATGTCAAGGGCACGACTTTCAATACGTTGTGCCAGCTCGCGGCACTTAGCCTGGGCAGCTCTCCAGCCATGGCCGGCAAAACAACTTCGTAGACCGTCGTGAGCGACCTCTGCTTCCACGCGCACTGCTGCAGTTGCGGCGGTTGCAGCCTCTCGCAGAACACAGCTGCCTCTGTTCACCCCATCAAAGAGCGTGCGAATTTGTGGATGCCATCCTGCCTCGATGCCGTCGCGGCCACACCTTCCAAAGTGAGGAAAGTTTACAATGCCAGCCGAGGAGTCTTGATGGACGGCTTGATGCACACGCGAAGGGCCAGAGACAGGCACAAATGCGGAGAGAGTACACGTCTGCAAAGGGCCTCGAGGAGGCTGCTGCTAAATCCGCCGCAGAAGCCACAGCCTGCTGACTCTGGAGACTTGGGGGGCGAGAGTAGCGACCCTCGGGTGCTGCCCGGGTCCTGATCGAACCGGTTATGGGTATGCAGAAGGTGGCTTTTTGTCACTCGTGCTCGACAAGTCAGACGAGGTTTATGGGAGCATACAAGACATCAAGCGTTCACATTGGAACACCACTGATTCAGCAAATTCCTGAAGAGGCGTAACTCCAACAGTTGCAGTACTCAAAACTGCATAAGCTTCATGAGTTAGAAAGTCCGTTCCTGTCCACATACTGTAGCAAGCCCGCTCAGAGCAGCCCTTCGCATACAAGCTCTGCACATCCAGCATCTTCACAGAAATGCCACAAGCAGCGTACCCCAGCTTCTGCATTGCTTCTCACAGCTCCCTGTTCGACCATCCGTTTGGAGTGGATGTGCTACTTAGTAGCGGCTAGAAGCAAGCAACACGAAACTATTCCAAAAGTGGCTGCTGCGGGGAATTCGATGGAAGGGAGATTGGTAGATAGAACGGAGAACGGCCGTACTTGTAACAGCGGCAACAATGGAGGTGGGAGAGCCACCGGAACCGAGATATCTTGACTCTCTATCTGCACAACTCGATTGTTCTTAAGATTGGCTCCCAGCAGTACAGCCCATCCCCGTTCCATCGGGTAGGACTTACAAAGGTGGGAGCATTACTGTACTGAACCGACAGCAGGATTTTTTTGCATCCAAGGCCCCTGCGACTCTCTCTCTTAAGTTCTCTTGTTGCTATCGGCTCCTCGGTTCTCCTTTGTTCGGCCTCCTCTCTCTCTCGTGCCGTACGGGGCTAGCTTTCGGGCTGGCTCCTCTATCCAACCATCCACCAATCCAGCAGCGCATGCAGACACGTGGATGCAAGCTACACGTGAAGTTCTGCGCAGGTGCGGAGTCTGCGGAGTGCGGAGTTCACAGCGGCCTTCTCCATGGACTTGAACCGTGCGTCGAAGCCTGCCCATCTAGAATCTGAACTGCCCACATCGATGCCCGATCTCAAGATGCAACAGCGGCCTCTCATCTTTCGATCAAGATCGCGCAACCTGCATCCAAAAGTCTGTGCGGTGCAACGCTCACATGCTGTCGGGCTTGGCGATGCTACAGGACCGAAGATCAGATCGAACCGCGTCGCTTCCAGTAGCAGAAGCACTTCGCGTAACTAGAAGTCGTTGTTTGTCCTCTCTGCGAAATGCCAGTCCTGCAGCTGTGCTTCCGGCGAATCCCACACATGCAGCCCAGACACGTACGCGCATGCAGTTCGAGCTCGGTTGGCTCCTTTCACATCGGTTGGGTGTCTGATGGTTTGCCGCCAGCGTCTATGCAAGTCCCAGCAGAAGTCTAGCAGAGTCTGCAAACCCGAAATTGCGACGGAAACCTCACCGAGCCATCCACAAATATCTAAGAAGGGCAGTGACCATGAAGGGATTCAGGAACAACTCACACAGTGCGCAAGTGGGCAGGCAACAGCGAAATGATCCAAGACCTTCCAGCCAGGGTCACGAAGCACGACATCTTATATCATCTTCAAGGGGTGGGACCGAAGAAAAGAGACTTGCAGTTCTCCTCCGTCCAGGTACAGTGTGCCGATCCGGAGGGCTCCGTACCGCCCAAGCAAGAGGACACGATACACGAGAAATGAAGCAAGCCAAGTTATACTGACATGAAAGAGATCGAGGGAGAGACAAACGAGGAGAAGCCAGAGCAAGCGGGAAAGAAAGCGACAGCTGAACACCGGTATAGCTCTCCTGTGGCCGGGGTGAAGCGCGAGTAGAGCCCGTGGCTCTTAACCTTTGACCTGGGCAGACAACAGCCAGATTCGGTGAGAACACACTGACATGAAGGCACTTGCGGTCCAATATTTATCAACACGCCGGCAAAATCAGCCGCAAGTGCTCTACGCTCTTTACGCCATACATATCTGTGCATGTGTTGCTGATGCCGCCCGTAACGAGGCCCATGCTCATTCGGGCGCTAGCACTTCCCGGGCTGTCCTGACAGCTGCGCGAGGACACCCGCTCTCGACAGCATTTTTGCGAGCCTCGGCCACTTTTTCTCGAGCTTTACCTTGGCGAGATCTTTGTATGTCTCAGTCCTACTTGTCATACGTTGTGGAGTTGTGGTTCCTCCTATACATTGCTGGACGGGTCGCTAGGCGAGGTGATGATTCACACTACTAGTATGAGGATGACGGTTAGCGCATTGCTTTTCAACTCCAGGCCCCGCACGGGGTGTAAACTGCGCCCGGGCTCTCAGCAGTGCTAGGTTGTCCTCTGCGATACTCATGCTTAAATCACAGCTTGCCAGTGACGGCCAAGGTCTCCTCCGCTTGCTGGAGGAAGCCAGCTATGGTCGGGCTGGGCCTCACTCAGCTTCAGGTGCCGAACCTCCTGTTGACTGTTGAACCATGTTGAACCCAAACTGTGATCCCGCTCGGTGAGAATGTAGCTACCTATCTGTTCCACAAGCAATTGAGCGACACTACGCGAGCTGCTTTAACAAAACCAGCAAATGCGACATGCTCGCTACGCATGCGTGCGCTGTGGGCGGCTTGTTTTACTGGGCTTCAGGCTGGCACATGGTGCGCTGCGAACCGGAACCTCGGCCGCATAAGAAATGCAACTCTTCATGACGGAGAAGAAGCACGAGTGCATGACGTAACTCAGTCCCACTTCATCCACGAGCGTGCATGATGGGAAGCATAAGCCGACAGGACTCCGCAGCACAAGCAGAACTTAACAGTGGCGAATTAATGTCTGCAGTCGCAAAACCCATTTGTTAGCAGGAACCTGCTTCACCCCCAGAGCACCAGACTGCCGCCCCAAACGATCATAGAAGCGCAGTTGCAGTTTCGCTTGCGAGCAATCGACAACAGTTCCAGTCCACAGATGATCGAAGTGACTCACGAATTATGCAGGGTAGCAGGAGGCATACGTGCCCAACTCTATCCCCCTTCCTCCATATGTCACCTGTAATACACTGCTGTGTACAGCATAGCAATGTACCACAAGCAGAGCTTGTGATGTTTAGTGGGACATGGTGCTTCACCCTGCATTCCTCGAACAGGTGCCTTTGCACGTGTTCGGGGATTGGCAAAAAAAGGTCGCCTGCATGGTTGCCACGCAGTAAACTGCTGCGGAAAAGGGCTCAGCCATTCGGCCTTGACATGTGCCATCTTTAAGACCGATACTTTCTCCGTTCGTGGTGCCGGTCCTTGACACCCTCTCAGGCGCAGGAGTTGCCGAAGTGGTTGCAGCACCAGACCTGCGGCTGAAGGGTCGCGACTTGATCGTCAGAGAGCCCTACAGGCGCACGCGCAGATGCGCAGCCGAAGGCGCCTGCTTGGGATGGGACCAGCCCGCTTGCCAATTGGCGACGCCAGCCTCGGTGCGGCGCAGGGCGCGAGCAGTCGCAGACCAGCGCTTCGCAGTTCTGAGGCGAGGTGCCAAGCAGTCGAAGGGCAGGTGCCCGTGCGTGCCGACTTGCACCCAATGTCCGCCTCCGCCTGGCGATGCGAAGCGAAGGAACGACTGCCGACTGCCTGCGGTCTGCGGTGTGCCGACCCTGCCGACCTCCGGCGGTGCTCCAGCTCCACATCATGCCGCTGCCCGCAGCGGACGGGGGATGCGCATGGTCTCAGCAACACGACAGACGCCGCCACGAACCCCTCCGCAACTCGGCTGGGGCCCGCGCTGTAAAAGCCACCACCGTGGTGGACGACGTGGTGGACGACGACGCTGCCTCCTAAGTCCAAGGGATCACCATGGATGTACGGCGGCACTCAACGCAAGAGGGCTGCATCGCAGACTAATACAGAGGGGCATGTGTTGCCGCATCCATTCCGTTCCGAAAGTCACCCCTCTGTGGGAGAGGCCCTTGCGCCGGCCAAGTATTGACAGGGATCCACTTCGGGAGAGTTGTTTGAAGCCCCGTACGATCCGAAGTTCAGTTATCTTCGGGGCGCCTGCCACGGCTCCTCCGGCACCTCCGGCGGCTCCGCCTTCGCAGCCCAGCTGCTGGTTGGTGCAGCACCAGCCCTGCAGTGCGAGTCTCACGGCTCCGCGTCTCTCAAGCCTCTGAGTCTCTGAGCCTCTCGAGCACCAGGCCTTCTTGCCCGGAGACCAGCCGGTGTGCCAGTTGGCCATGCCGGCATGGCAGTCGTAGGGCAGGCTGGCGTGGCCGTGGCCGTGCACGGCCGTCCACGTCCAGTAGCCGTTCACCTGCCACCAGCCCAGCCACCAGCATGCGATGCAGCACAGAGTCAAGCCTGCATCAACGAACAGCCGCCTGGACGTGCTTCCAGACCATGCCATACCCAGCATCGACCGAAGGTGGGTGGTGGCCCTCGCAGCCCTTTCCCTGCTTGGTGCAGCACCAGTGCTTCTTCTCCGGGGACCAAGCCTCGCAACCGTCTGCCGTGGCACGGAAGGGGGGACGACCGTCTCCTACACTCCCATAACCCACGCACACTCGGTGCATCAGTCACAGGCCAGGCGACCCTGAAGAAGTTGTTGATGGCCGCATTGCAGTCGAAGGGTAGTGAGCCCGACATGTGCACTTCACAGCCCGCCTCCTGTTCCAAGCGCACCAACATGCACGAATGCATGGACAGGTCTGCCAGATCTGCTTTCGGAAGCCGTTTCGGGTGCAATGCTTCCGGTCTGTCATTAGACACCACAACTGGTGCCTTAGACCCCCCAAAACTGGTCTTTCTGCCAGATGATGTGCTATGCACGTGCTGCTGAAAGACACGAGTACCAGAAGCCGTGCCACTACGCGGGCCTCGATGGAGCAAGATCGGCACACGTCGCACTCCACCTGCACCTTGCTGTAGGCAAGAGCGCACTTGTCTTCCTCGCAGCGAGCAAGGATCAGAAGCACGTGCCCTGCAGCTTGGGAATGCCGGTCAGTCCTTGTCTCCGAAGACGTGGTCACGAGTCCAATGGATGCGGTTCATGCACGTGTCTGTCTCTCCTGGCAAAACTCGGGTTCCATGTTTTCAGGTGCATCACTGAAAAAACAGTGCAGGGGCAGGCCGTGGATCTCGCAGGGCGTCTCGCACTTCATCGGAGACATCGTCGTATGGGGGCAGCCCTTCTGGAAGTGCGCGCAGCACCTCCCAGAGCGTTTGCATACGAGTTTCAGGTTGTGTGCAAGGGCCGTCCCAGCCGCAGTCAAGGCACCACTCCGACTTGGCCGCATGCCAGGTATGCTCCTGAGGCAGGCACATCAGCAAAGAGCAGCCGAAGCGGGACACAAGCCGCTCGATCAGGACCCAAAAGTCCAAGGCACTTCCCCGGTGCAGTGGTACTTGACGCAGCCCTTCTGCTCATGCGAGCAGCACCAATCTTTCTTGGAGTCCGACCAGCCCTGCATCCAGTTGGAGAACCCGGCGTCGCAGTCATAGATGTGCCCCTGAGCATGGCCAATGCCGTGCATCACGTGCATGTTCAGGTGGTAGCTTCCATGCCAGGTGCCGGGGCAACCACGATGCTCGTGAGTGCAGCACCATCCCTTCTTATGGTCCGACCAGCCGAAATACCAGTTCGAATAGCCCTCGTGGCAGTTGTAGCGGAAGCGTGGCTGCACGTAATGCGGCTGCTCGTGAACATAGTGGTAGACCACATGACTGTGCGCGGGAGCTGGCACAGGTACATGCACGACCCTGGTCTCAGGCTGGCCATACACGGGCACATGGTGATAGATCACTTTCGGTGGCTTCGCATGCAGGGGGCAAGCCCGGCCAAAGTGCATGCAGCAGTATTTCTGCTGCTGCTCTCCCCACATGTGCATCCAATCGTGGTAGCCTCCGTAGCAGTCGAATCGGTCGTAGCTCGGCACTGGTGGTGCGATGTCGTCTGCTCCAACTGGAACCGCATCCCAGAAGAACAACCGCCACAAGAGCAAGCCTGCAGCACTTCACAGTCTACCATGGCCATCGTACGTCAACATTAGCGAAGGCTGAGCTGATGTGACTACTGGGCGGGCTGCTTCACAGCGCTATCCGAGCAGCCGAAGGCGAAGAGCAGCAGCGCTGCGAGGATGGCAATGCATTCGCCCCTGAACCTCGCAAGCAAAAGAAGGCAAAAGAGGATGCGTGCTAGAAGCAGCTGTTGCTGACGTTCAGTACACTTGCCAACTGAAGAGTGCTGAGAAGATAAGCTAACAACCACCTAAGATTCTCAGAAGCACCTCTCCAAAATGCGTGAGAAAAGGGCTAGTCGAGGCCTCCAAGTGCTGCGGCTCGTCTTCACTTCCTCCAGGTTGCCCTGTCCTGCTTGGGGCTTCTAGCATCTGTGGGATGGTCCCACGAATTGTGCTTCCCTCATACACATGTTCCGCCAAGATGCCGGCACCAACATACTGCACTTGACTGGCCTGCAAGCAGAACGGAACCCGCAGTCTTCGTTATACATCTGGGAGCATCACTCGTACTAGGTTACTACGGCTGCAAAGTGTGATCTAGCCGCGTGACACAACCAGAGCACACACACGGAGTTTGGGAGTCCATCAGGACACAACCAATCACTTCCAGTTTTGCTATAATATGTTGCTATAGTCGACGATCACCTGAGGCCTAAGTAACACCTCAATGATCAGATTGCAGCAACCATGCATGAACTGTCTCAAACATCTCTCGACATGCCAGGTTTGTGGCTTAGCCTGGTGGCCATCTCGATCGCAGGTACACCAAGCTGATCAGGCTTGGCTTCCCTCTCTGATGCATAGCTTCGTTGGGTACGGTAGCATCAGAGAGCCGTACCCCCCTGCTGACAAAGAAGAAGGATGCAGTACTGGATAACATTGGTAGCAGATGCACCAAAGACCTCTAGCTTAGAATCGAGGCTTACACACACACACACCCCTCAGTGAGGGGAAAATGTCCTGAGTCCTGCGTCCAATCGTCCTGAGGCACGCTTTGTTGTCGTTCCTTAGTATGGTCATCGTCGTCATCGTCGTCGTCGGAGAGAAAAGGAGAGGAAGCGAGAAAAGAAAACGATAGCTCGGCTGACAGACGACCAGAAAGAGGAAAGAGGGGAGAGAGAGCGAGAAAAGATGACGATAGCTCGGCTGACAGGCTGAGAAGACACGCGGTCCTTAGTATGGTCATCGTCGTCATCGTCGTCGTCGGAGAGAAAAGGAGAGAAAGCGAGAAAAGAAGACGATAGCCCGGCTGACAGACGACCAGAAAGAGGAGAGAGGGGGGAGAGAGCGAGAAAAGATGATGATAGCTCGGCAGACAGACTGAGAAGACAGGCGGTCCTTAGTATGGTCATCGTCGTCATCGTCGTCGTCGGAGAGAAAAGGAGAGGAAGCGAGAGAGGAGACGATAGCTCGGCTAACAGACGACCAGAAAGAAGAGAGAGGGGGGGGGAGAGAGCGAGAAAAGATGACGATAGCTCGGCTGACAGACTGAGAAGACACGCGTCTGGCAACGACTCCATGTTCACAACGCGAAAAGCTACAAAACAAAGAATCAAGCCAAGATGCTGCCACGACCATGCATCATCTTTGGTATCTTTGCTTCTTTTGTTACTCAAGGCTACCGTTTGGTCACGCAAGCCCATCACCTGACCAATCGGGGCACCATTGTTCCGGTTGCTCGCTAGGAGCACTTAGACCCATCACCTGACAAGAAAGGGCCACTCTTTACAATGCCTTTGCACCATTGACCTGTCCCGAAGGAGTACGGCCTGTTATGTTACCATCTTGGGCCGCAAAAAACGTACCCTGGCAGTCCGCAGGAGCGGTTATTGCCGTTGGCGACAAGGCCACACACGGAGTTTGGGAGTCCATCAGGACACAACCAATCACTTCCAGTTTTGCCATAATATGTTGCTGTCGTCGACGATCACCTGAGGCCTAAGTAACACCTGAATGATCAGATTGCAGCAACCATGCATGAACTGTCTCAAACATCTCTCGACATGCCAGGTTTGTGGCTTAGCCTGGTGGCCATCTCGATCGCAGGTACACCAAGCTGATCAGGCTTGGCTTCCCTCTCTGATGCATAGCTTCGTTGGGTACGGTAGCATCAGAGAGCCGTACCCCCCTGCTGACAAAGAAGAAGGATGCAGTACTGGATAACATTGGTAGCAGATGCACCAAAGACCTCTAGCTTAGAATCGAGGCTTACACACACACACACAATTGCATCAAGTTGCTTTATGTTGCATTTCTGCCACTTCTACATAGTCACGATTTTGACCTGCCTGCGAGTAGGCGCCGCGGTTCTCACCGACGTACTTGTACTGAGCGGTTTCGTGCACCGAGCTTGGGTCACCTGAAATGAAACGAAGCGGGACGTCGTTTGGGAACGCTGGATAACGCGACATCTCAAACTGCTTGCAGGGATCCACGCACATTGTTTGCTCCACATCTTTATTAACTACTGACTACTGATGTCAAGGAGTGTACGTATGATGACTGTGACATCCTGGCCGCCACAGTGAGAACTCAGTGAGAATGTCTACATGCCCGGCCTTCAAAGCACACCGCCATGCAGCCATCAGGTTCTGCACCTGCAAGACCACCACTTCACATGGGCTGATCAAACGTCCATTCGCGTGCCTCCGGCCGGCATGATGAGAACGAGCACAAGTAGAAACTGAAGAAGCCGAAAATTCTGCGCACGTGTTGGGCAGTGTATCCGGATTTATATGCACTCTCACACGTCGTCTGGGGCCAGAAGCCACCACACCCTCGTTTTCAACCAACGCCATGCTACTGAGAGCGCAACACCAGGTGGCGTGCCTCTTCGTCGAAATCGCTTCGAGCTAAATTTGAATGCTGAGGAAAACATGACATGCGCAGACTAACATTTCGAAAGGACCCAAGAAGACAGCATGAGGATCAACAGTGAAAGAAAGCTTCCCTAATGTTGAGCAACTGCTGCGGGATGTGGTTGCGCAGTGTGAAAGCTGTAGAACGAAACCGTGCGAGAACGGTGCTTCGTCACGGTGGAGCAGAACTGTTAAAATTGATCGCTTCGTAAATGCACGGCTCGCCCGTGGCATACGAAGCTCAGAACCGTTTCGTCGACCAGGGCAACGCCTGCGATGGGAGGAACATGCCCTGTGGTCGTGTCGCAGCATGGCACAGCACCATACAGAGATGCCCTCTTTTGTGTGCTGCGCTCAGCGGTATAGCATGGTCTTTGGCCCCTCACTAGAGCGACCAACGGATCTGAGAGCCGCAAGGCATGTGCTCGCAAGCTGGGTCGCAACATGTTGCAACTCTGCCAGGCTTCATCGTAGGGATAGAGCGGACAGTGACAAATCAGGCTTTGCGTCTTCAGATCTATACCCCCGATCGCTGTACAAAAACAGAGCAAATTATCGTAACCTTGGCCGCATCAGCTGTTTGCAGCAGCGCTTCGGCATGGTCCTGTAGTCGTAGTTGGCATTGCGGCAAGGGCAGAAGCAAGCAATAGAACAGTAACAATATTCGCTTCGGCTTCCGATTAATGGGCGACTGACTTAAACTTAGACCACAGCTCACCACTTCACTCCGTACGGCTAACCGCTCCATCTCTCATGCTCTCGGAGCTGGCTGCGACGCTCCTGGCCCGTTTATACCCCGATAACTGCTGCCACCTAAGGCTATGCGCCCGCTTCTGTAGACTTGCATCCAGGCTGGTTCAAAGACGTTCAGGCTCATGTTCAGATGAAGACTGACTGTGGGGAAAAAGACTGATGTAAACTGTACAGTCATCAGAACCCTCATCAGCCGATGCTGGCGTAAAAACAACAGCTGGGCTAGTGAGCTAGCCAGAGCCATCCAATCTTGAAGCGTTGTGCATCTTGGATGGGCTCCGCACATCACAAGACAAGACGTGTAACTCGTGGAAGCTTTCTTCGCCACATGTTCTCATGCCAGCTGCGCTTGCGGAAAGAGCGTCACCGACTGGCCATTGCACTTGAGCTCGACGGCACGGACCACGGGCATGGAGATCGTGCCGGGTGGAAACTGCTCCTTGGTTGCTCTTCGCGGCGCAAAAATTTAGTTTACTCCTGCTTGCGGCTCCCTTTACGAATCAGAGGAACTCCAAACTTCAAACCACAACAAAAAGAGGATCCCTAAGACTGACCGGGGTTCTCCGAACGGCTCGCCATTCTTGTAGAAGCAGAGCGAGCCGTCATTGCAGTCGAGTCGTAGCCCGACGCGATCTCCCACAACGAAGAATTTGCCCTTCTTCGCCGCATCCTCGGTGTCGATGTCACCACCATAGATGTTTCCATCATGCGTACGAAGATACCATGCCTTGCCCTTGTCATGATGGTCGCCCTTCTCAACATCACATCCCGGCGCCGCGACGCCGATAAACATGTCGCGATTGTTGTTTTGGATTGCGCCTGACGTGAGTTCCACCTCCCAGGTGTGCACGCCAGAGGTGAGCAACTCTTTAGCTGCAGCATGCCGGGAGTAGTTGCCACCAGTTGTCTTGGTAAGAACCATACCCTCGCCGCTAACTTCCACCGTTTTTCCGAACTTGTCCCAAGCGTCTGGCATCCCTGACGGGGGGAGGAAAATCTGAAGGTGTCCTAGAACTGAGGATCTTTTCCTCTTGAGCACTTGCGCCGCGACGGTTCGACAGTGCGTCTGAGGTTGACAGCCGTCTGGATTGACATGGAATTGCAGATAATTTTGCGTTGCAGGCAAACCGAAGCTGTGGTAACCCTTCCGGTGCTTCTGCCTTCTTGCGCAAAACTGAGAAGACATCGTCCATGCACATGGCCTGCAGCAACACCACAACTGTAAGGAGCCGGCTCCACGACATTACAGTTCTGAAGCAACAAGTTCAGGAAAAGAAGCCGTCTGTCAACAATCAAGCACTTCCTCTGCCTCCCGTGCCGACAGCACACACAGCGACCATGGCCGACATTTGCTGCTAGGTTGGGGAGCGGAAGATCAAAAAGGTGCCGGTGAAGAAGTACGTGCGACGAGAGTGCCCAGGCATCCAATCGCAAGCTTCAATCATGGCTCTGAGCTTCTCTTTACCTGACGACAAAAGCAGTCGGGATGAGGCGTAATTACATGGCTGAAGCAGACAAGAAGCTGGGATTGGGAGCGCTCTCATCCGTAACGAACAGAATCGTGTAGGATTGTCAGAAGGCTCCCTGCCGTATGACCAAAGTCAAGGAAGTAAGACCAACGTTACTGTACCCATGGCTCTCACCATCGCGGAATACGGAACAGGGAAAGTGATCCGCAATCTTCATCATACCAGGTTACCAAGCTGAGCCGAAGAAGCATGCAAGGCCTGCATGATGAGCTCACCCGCCTTTTATCTCGCGAGCAAGTTTCGCTCATCAACAGTGCAATAGTGACAGCTGTTCAGGGTCGTCTGGCTTGGAACAGAGCTGGCCTTACCTGCTGCTGCCACAAACCTGCGCACATAAACGTGCTACAAAGGGACGGTTCAGCATGACATCCAGACAGAGTTCGCAAGCCGAAAATCTCGATAACATCCAACGAGCTCCAGCATTGCAATGCTTCGCTTGCAACGAGGTAGCGCAGAGAAAAGGAAGTGCGCAAGGGACCCGCATGGATCTTCTGGAATTCGGCCGCAGTGTTCGGCTGCAACGTAGTATACGATCACCGGGTCCCAAAGGCATAAGCTGCATCCCGAGGAGTGCTTGTGGCCAGGACGAAGACATGCCTTCGGCTTGCCACCTCCTGACAGCAGGGCCCAAATGTGCATAAAATGACCTTGCGGCGGGGGCATCATCTCCAATCGAGAGGATGGCGCGGGCCTTTCAAGCCTTCAAGGTTCAGTACTCAAGTACTAGTTTACATTCTGTGCCCCTCAGGCGCAGGAGTTGCCGAAGTGGTTGCAGCACCAGACCTGCGGCTGAAGGGTCGCGACTTGATCGTCAGAGAGCCCTACAGGCGCACGCGCAGATGCGCAGCCGAAGGCGCCTGCTTGGGATGGGACCAGCCCGCTTGCCAATTGGCGACGCCAGCCTCGGTGCGGCGCAGGGCGCGAGCAGTCGCAGACCAGCGCTTCGCAGTTCTGAGGCGAGGTGCCAAGCAGTCGAAGGGCAGGTGCCCGTGCGTGCCGACTTGCACCCAATGTCCGCCTCCGCCTGGCGATGCGAAGCGAAGGAACGCCTGCCGACTGCCTGCGGTGTGCCGACCGTGCCGACCTCCGGCGGTGCTCCAGCTCCACATCATGCCGCTGCCCGCAGCGGACGGGGGATGCGCGTGGTCTCAGCAGACACGACAGACGCTGCCACGGACCTCTCCGCAACTCGGCTGGGGCCCCCGCTGTAAAAGCCACCGCCGTGGTGGACGACGTGGTGGACGACGACGCTGCCTCCTGACACCAAGGGATGCTGCATCGCGGAATAATCCGTTCATCCCTCTGCGTTGCAGGCCCTTGCGCCGGCCAAGGATTGACAGGGATCCGCTTCGGGAGAGTTGTTTGAAGCCCCGTACGATCCGAAGTTCAGTTATCTTCGGGGCGCCTGCCACGGCTCCTCCGGCACCTCCGGCGGCTCCGCCTTCGCAGCCCAGCTGCTGGTTGGTGCAGCACCAGCCCTGCAGTGCGAGTCTCACGGCTCCGCGTCTCTCAAGCCTCTGAGTCTCTGAGCCTCTCGAGCACCAGGCCTTCTTGCCCGGAGACCAGCCGGTGTGCCAGTTGGCCATGCCGGCATGGCAGTCGTAGGGCAGGCTGGCGTGGCCGTGGCCGTGCACGGCCGTCCACGTCCAGTAGCCGTTCACCTGCCACCAGCCCAGCCACCAGCATGCGATGCAGCACAGAGTCAACCCTGCATCAACGAACAGCCGCCTGGACGTGCTTCCAGACCATGCCATACCCAGCATCGACCGAAGGTGGGTGGTGGCCCTCGCAGCCCTTTCCCTGCTTGGTGCAGCACCAGTGCTTCTTCTCCGGGGACCAAGCCTCGCAACCGTCTGCCGTGGCACGGAAGGGGGGACGACCGTCTCCTACACCCCCATAACCCACGCACACTCGGTGCATCAGTCACAGGCCAGGCGACCCTGAAGAAGTTGTTGATGGCCGCATTGCAGTCGAAGGGTAGTGAGCCCGACATGTGCACTTCACAGCCCGCCTCCTGTTCCAAGCGCACCAACATGCACGAATGCATGGGCAGGTCTGCCAGATCTGCTTTCGGAAGCCGTTTCGGGTGCAATGCTTCCAGTCTGTCATTAGACACCACAACTGGTGCCTTAGACCCCCAAAACTGGTTTTTCTGCCAGATGATGTGCTATGCACGTGCTGCTGAAAGACACGAGTACCAGAAGCCGTGCCACTACGCGGGCCTCGATGGAGCAAGATCGGCACACGTCGCACTCCACCTGCACCTTGCTGTAGGCAAGAGCGCACTTGTCGTCCTCACAGCAAGCAAGGATCAAGAAGGACGTGCCCTGCAGCTAGGGAATGCCGGTCAGTCCTTGTCTCCGAAGACGTGGTCACGAGTCCAATGGATGCGGTTCATGCACGTGTCTGTCTCTCCTGGCAAAACTCGGGTTCCATGTTTTCAGGCGCATCACTGAAAAAACAGTGCAGGGGCAGGCCGTGGATCTCGCAGGGCGTCTCGCACTTCATCGGAGACATCGTTGTATGGGGGCAGCCCTTCTGGAAGTGCGCGCAGCACCTCCCAGAGCGTCTGCGCACGAGCGCGAGGTTGTGTGCGAGGGCCGTCCTAGCCGCAGCCAAGGCACCACTCCGACTTGGCCGCATGCCAGGTATGCTCCTGAGGCAGACACATCACCCACACATCACCCAACCAAGAGCAGCCGAAGCAGGACAAAAGCCGCTCGATCAGAACGCAAAAAGTCCAAGGCACTTCCCCGGTGCAGTGGTACTTGACGCAGCCCTTCTGCTCATGCGAGCAGCACCAATCCTTCTTGGAGTCCGACCAGCCCTGCATCCAGTTGGAGAACCCGGCGTCGCAGTCGTAGATGTGCCCCTGAGCATGGCCAATGCCGTGCATCACGTGCATGTTCAGGTGGTAGCTTCCATGCCAGGTGCCGGGGCAACCACGATGCTCGTGAGTGCAGCACCATCCCTTCTTATGGTCCGACCAGCCGAAGTACCAGTTCGAGTAGCCGGCATGGCAATTGTAGGCAAAGTGGTGCACGACTGGTGCCGCCGGGATGTAACGGGTCTTGTAGACAACGTGGCTTGGGGAAGGAACCGGGACGGAAACGTAGTGGTAGTGCGTTGGCGAGGAAACAGGATAGGGCACTTCCTTGTGAATCACGTCACGCTCCACATGGTAATGGGGGCACGCACGGCCGTACTGATCGCAACAGGCGGCTTGCTTCTCCGGAGTCCAGAGGTTCTTCCAGTCATGGTATCCTTCGTAGCAGTTCAAAGTGGGCTCCATGTCGTCTGCGCCCACGGGTGTGCGATGCGAGAAGAACCACCACCACAGCCAGCCTTGGAACAGATACGCCAGCCGCTAGCGGGATGTTGGAATCAGGGTGGGGTGCGCTCAAGTTGCATTAAAGCTACCCAGCAGGAGGAGTGCCAGGAGCGCCAGCATTGCCAGGCAGCAGGCACGCACCCTGCCCAGCCCAAGTTTCGTCGAAAGCAAACCGAAACTGACCGGAGTGCAGCGCTACAACAGCTGTGGGGAAAAAAAAGTCCACAAACCTCGGTACTTCCCTCTATTTGCCACACCAGGGACCCCCCAAAACACCACGTCGCAAACTATACAACCCCAGCGCCCCGAGAAATCACGCTCTGCCCACCTGCAACTTGGTTTCTGCATAGTCTTCCGTACCCAAACTAGCAGTAACATAGAGCAACGTTTCACCAGCCACTTTTTGCACCCTCTCCTTTGCGGTCACTCAAGCTCACTCTGAGATCCAAACCGAGAACGTCAATCCAACCGCACATGCACGAGGATAACTACTAGTGATGAGCCTCCAGCGGGTGTACACGGCCTTCTCCTCTTTGTTCCAGTCGCCCGTTCCTGCAGCGACCGATCTGTTCTGGCTTTGCAATCATCACAGTGCCAGCACGCATTCCGTAGACTCCTACAAGTATCTTCACGCGCCATTAGAAGCCAGGCATGCTAAGTGTGGCCAAGCGTCCCACACCAACGAAGCGCATCTCCGAGCGCTGCTCATATGAGCCGCGGCTCGCACCCACATAATCTCAGGACCCCAGCAAGTCTAGTCGCTCATAGCAAGTCCAGTCTGAAAGCCTTCGCAACAAACAATGACTAACAGTAACACCGAACCGGGGAGCGCCAGTGATCTTTCTCGGTCCTGGTGGCCTCATCGCCTTGCGAGCACAGGACAAAACTGTCGGCGCTTTCAAGTTGACCTATCGGGGTGTGAGCGCCAAGGCACCTTCACACAGGAGCTCGTTGCAGTCACCCATTGGGAACTACTAACTGGGTCCGAACACACAAATGAGAATGATCAGAGCCGATATGCTCACGGAAAGCCTACTGGTACCAGCAACATGAGCAGGCTCGTGTACTCCGGAATGCATATCCGCACAACTTTCAGAAAGCTTAAAGGCAAATTTTCTTCGCCGTGTTTCGCGATAGCGATGTGAAAGCTTGCAGAATCCGAAGACCGAACCCATGGCCGTGGCTTGGTCGGTGGCAAACACATCTGCAAGAAGATCTCATGGCGCTGCAAGGATCGACATATTGCAAGACCAAACCAAGGCCCCCTTGACTACAGCTGAGCCCCCCAAGAAGCTTTGCATGGCGGAGCCCAACCCAAAGAACGATGTCATGGCATCTTGCCCGACACCGGCATGTCGACAGACGGGGATTGCCCCAGAGCCCTAGAGAGAGGCCTTCCAGTTCCATGCAGCTAGACAAAGTGGTGCAACAAAGGTACATCGGGCTTGTTTATCCCGCGCCAAAAGGACCCACTGGTGGCGGGTGCTGGACGATTGCAAGGGTCTTCATGGTAGTTCTAGTTCTGCGGGCATCGTGGGGAGTTCACCCAGTGCGTTCCGTTTTCGTAGTTAGGCCGACCACCAGCATGAGAGGTCCGAAGTCTGCGAACTACGACAAGCCAAGGCCTTGGGCTCAACTGCAGGAGTTGCCCACGTGGCGGCAGCACCAGTCCTGTCAGTGAAGCCCTGCAGGGACACATGCCTCCTCTAGGCTGCTTGCGTGTGCCTTCTTGGCTGGCGACCAAGCCGTGTGCCAGCGTGAAAAGCCCGCGTGGCAGTCGAATGCTGCACCATGGCCTCGCAAAAACCAATCGAGATTGTGTCCGTCGCTCTCATGTAAGATCATCTAAGATCCGGGCTGTAGTGCGCTCCGCCGTGGTACACGTGGTGAATGACATGGACAGTCTGGGATCCTGCTCAAAGGGTCAGCCTGTATGTGACTTGTGACAACCTCTCCTGCCCGACCTCCTCCGCAGCCTACGTGATGGTGGGCACAGCACCATGCCTACAATACCAAACCAGGGAAAAGCATGATGCCTGGATTCAAGTGTTCAAGCCTTCTTGCCCCCGGACCAGCCGGTGTGCCAGTTGTCCAGGCCGGCATTGCAGTCATAGGGCAGGCTGGCGTGGCCGTGTCCGTGCACGGCGACCCAAGTCCAGTAGCCGTTCACCTCCCACCAGCATGCAGCACCAAGTGAACACTGCATCGACATACAGCGGCCTGCACATGCTTCCAAGTCATGCCAAAGCCGGCATCGACGGAAGGCGGGTGGTGGCCCTCGCAGCCCTTTCCCTGCTTGGTGCAGCACCAGTGCTTCTTCTCCGGGGACCAGGCCTCATAACAGTCTGATCCACCCGCCGCAAACGCGCGAAGCTAGGAGGCCGCCAGGAGGCCCGAAAGAAGTTGTTGAGGGCCGCGTGGCAGTCGAAAGGTAACGAGCCCGACATGTGCACTTCACAACCTGCCTCCTGCAACCCAGCAGGAGTATTGCACCAACATGAAGCTTGACTACACTATACTACACTCCCCTACTTCATCATGCCGCGCCTCGATGGTGCAAGATCGGCACACGTCGCACTCGACCTGCACCTTGCTGTAGGCAAGAGCGCACTTGTTCTCCTCGCACCAAGTAAGGGCAGCAAGGGTCACTGCAAACAACCGGAAGCACGTGCCCGGCAGCTGCGGAATGGCGGGCAGTCCTTCTCTCCGAAGACGTGGTCTCGTGTCCAATGAATGCGGTTCATGCACGTGTCTGTCTCTCCTGGAAAGACTTGGTTCTCTGATGTCGGTGCTACCCTGAGAGCATCTTCGCACTATGTTCTGTGCCAGCGGTTAGGCATCTGGCCTTTGAGTGTGCACGGGGTCTCGCACTTCATTGGCGAAAGCGTCGTTTGTGGGCAACCCTTCTGAAAGTGAGCACAGCACCTGTGCATCGCGGTCGTGTCTCTCTGAAGTGCAGCAAGAGAGCACCCTATGAAAACAATGAAGCAGAGACACCAGTCTGACTTGTCATCGGTCCAGGAATCCTCCTTAGGCAGTTAAAGTGACCGGACGATTGCCAGCCCTGGGACGAGGCTAATGGGTCTCGGCTGCCCTGGAATCGGACAGCTCACAAGTCACAAATCACTTTCCAAGGCCCAAGGCACTTCCCCGGTGCAGTGGTACTTGACGCAGCCCTTCTGCTCATGCGAGCAGCACCAATCCTTCTTGGAGTCCGACCACCCTTGCATCCAGTTGGAGAAGCCAGCATCGCAGTCATAGATGTGCCCCTCTGCATGGCCGATGTGGTGCCCCACTTGAGTGTGCAGGTGGTAGCTGCCATGCCAGGTTCCGGGGCAGCCGCGAGACTCGTGAGAGCAGCACCACGCTTTCTTGTGTTGAGACCATCCGAACAACCAGTTCGAGTAGCCGGCACGGCAGTTGTAGGCCTGAGCAGGAGGACCATGGTAGACGAAGTGCGGGTGGTGGACCACAGTCGCAGAACCAGTGCATGCTCGGCCATAGAGGTCGCAACAAATGGCCCTCTTGTCTGCATCCCAGAGAACCTGATAATTGTAAAACCCAGTGTTACAATCGATCGCATCCTGAGCAGGCCTTGACACTGACATATCATCGGAACCGACCGTCATCGTCCTTTCGTGCAAGAGGCGGTACAGGAGGTAACCTCGGATGATCTTTGCCTTCCATCGACATTTTGGATGAAACGTGTGATATGCAGCATGCCAAGGCACCCAGCATTGCCAACAAAAGCAACGCCAGCAGGCACATGCAGCAGACTTTGGGGCGATAAGAGGTGTATTTGTGATTCACGACAACTTTCTCCCATTCCCCTCGTCCTCGGATACTTCGGCATGCCACTCATGAAGCAGTCGCGGCTGGACGAAAGTACTATGAACATGACGACGACTCGAAAGCAGCCTTCACTGACTTCACAGAAGAACTTGAACAATTCGGAACATCACAGTACTTGTCAATCTGGCTCGAGCTTCCGTGCTCCACTTCCTTGTACGCGGCCGAATAGGACCCCTTGCCCTCTCCCTTCCAGACCATCTGGTACTGTTCCTGCATGTAAGCAGGATCGCCTCCACAGGGCGCATAGTCATGGTCGGCCACAGACAAATTAAGCGAAACGACCGACCTCCTATCGGGACATCTTTTGCTAAACCGACCGGGAAAAAGCAAGCATGTTGCGGCTATCGGCTATCTTGCTTGTCCAAAGACTGCCAGTGGTTGACCATTGCTGCTTCTCGGCTGTGGGCCCCTTTCAGAAACTAGGTAGCTGCAAGACATTGAAGGAACACAGCTGCGAGCAACGCGCCTTCACAGAAGAGGTCCACGCATTGGTCCGACATGGCTCGCACGCAAGTTTACCGCTGTAGCTCGAGCCACCAGATGAAGCTGCCGGGGACGTGATGATGCAACCTTGCGCATCGTGTTTGGTTACCATGGCTCCAAGAAGATGATCCCCTTGAAGCAGCGGTTCGCAATGTGAACCGTGAGCTTGCAAGTTTTGTCTGAAACAGCCGGCGCCCTGTTGGCAGCTGGGGATGACTTGGGGTCATGCAAGTGCTTCGCACCAACGCCCCACCTCCGCTTCAGAGACATGCAGCATGAACTCGCCCAGCTCTGGATACGGCACAACAGAGATCTTGCGTCAAGATGCTGTCAAGAATGTAAATTGCGAGTGTAAATAGCCGCATACTTGACAACCAAACGAGGCAATTACCATATTTGGCCATCGCTTTTCTTTGAATTACAAGAGCCAATGGTTGCTCTCGAATGCAGGAGGTGGCGGCACGACAGGACCGGACCTGCCGAGTGCAGCCTAGGTTTCTCAACAACTTCTGGACTCTACGGGGCAGCGTGCGACTGGTTGGTAAAATCAAGCGAGGAAGAAGGGTGGCCAGTCCTCCACTTTGAGCATATATGTCTTCGACCTCGAGTCCAGCAGAAGAGGAGCGGTGCCCTCACCAATGAAATCCCACCTCATAAGGCCCCAGCGCAGCTGCAGTTTCACCGTCCGTGGCCTGGTGAGGGTTGACTGGACCCCATTAAAGTCGCATGCCTGCGCTTCCAGCTGCTGGAATCTCTGCGGGGACAATGGACTGATAAAGGCACACTGGAACCGCTGACAAGGAGGTCAACGTTGACGCGATTGAGGAGCGCTTTGCAGTGGTAGCAGGCTGCTAGAAGCGCATGCCAAACCACTGATGGATCCGATGGACACTTGTGAGACGAGCGGGTCGATTTCACCGCCTAGCGCCACAACCGCAACCTGCAAGGGCTATATTTTGGCTGTTTCAGTTCATTGCCATTGCCATCACTGCTTGGAGACAGAGATACAGATGTTCTCAACTACTTTCCTAGCGATTCCCGATTCTGCCGAAGCACAACTGGACCTTCGCACTCAGGTGGAACCCGACGGTTTTCCACCGCTTCAAGCGTAAGTCAAGCAACAGATGCCCTAGGACAGCGGCACAAGCAGTTTGAACAAGTGTTCCCAACAGAAAGAGCCACGACGCCATCGACATGCAATGCTACATGTAAGAGGTACGAGAGTGCTCAAGTACTACACTTGTCTTCGTATCCATTATCGAATCGATGCTTCAAACCCATTGTGATCACATATGTCCAGTAGAGTCTAGTCTAGTCATGGCACTGTGCATGCTTATGTCACTTGGAAGCAAGCCTTTGGAGGCGTAGCTTCGCATTGTGCATTCTTGCGGCTTGCGAGGTTTCACTTCTGAGGTTGGGGCAAATACAAACCGTGGGAATTACCAATTGGCTGGCTCATGCCAAATACACGCGCGCGCGCACGCACGAAGAAAAGGCACACTTCCGTCCTTCCTTCCGGAGGTGTAGGAAGTCGGCATTCCCTCGCTCCCGCAAGGGCGCGCGAACCCCACTGGTCTTTACTGTGCTTGTGACAGCTAGTGCTCGGTGGACACTCGTACCCGACAAGTCTAGCAACCACGACAAAACAGACATTTTCACTTCCTGTTGTTTCTACAGGCTAAGGAGGGCAATCTAACAGACGACACCCTTGGGTGCAGCCACAGGTGTGGCTTCTCTCGACGGATTTGGCAGAAAGAACGATCAAACAATGAAGTCAAGCGTAAATTATCCGCCGTCCCTCCACTGCAAGCTTACAACATTGCCCATCACTTCCAAGACCCTGGCTGTAGTGTGCTCCGCCGTGGTACACATGGTGAACGACGACGGTCGGGGCTCCTCAGAAAGGCAGCCTGTATGCAGCTTGCCGCAACATCCCGCCTGCCCCACCTCCTTCACAGCCGACGTGTTGGTGCAGACAGCACCATGCCTGCCGCAGGAACCGGCAAAAGCCAGATTGCATGAGTTGCCTCCGAAGCTTTTCCGGCCTTCTTGCCCCCTGACCAGCCGGTGTGCCAGTTGGCGAGGCCGGCATTGCAGTCATAGGGCAGGCTGGCGTGGCCGTGGCCGTGGCCGTGGCCGTGCACAGCCAGCCAGGTCCAGTAGCCGTTCACCTGCCATGCGCTGCGGATGAGCCCCAAGCGTCAGCCGACATGAATGCACGCCCACCGGCCTGCACGTGCTTCCAGGTCATGCCATAGCCGGCATCAACGGAGGGTGGGTGGTGACCCTCGCAGCCCTTTCCCTGCTTGGTACAGCACCAGTGCTTCTTCTCCGGGGACCACGCCTCAGAATTTTTTGCCGCGGCAAGCAATTCCATAAAATGCTCACAGTCAGCATGGGCCAGGTGACCCTGAAGAAGTTGTTGAGGGCCGCATTGCAGTCGAAGGGTAGCGAGCCCGACATGTGCACTTCACAGCCTGCCTCCTGCAACCAGCAGGCAGATTGCTCCAAGAACACACTCTACCACCCCTGTCGCGCCTCGACGGAACAAGAACGACAGACGTCGCACTCTACCTGCACTTTGCTATAGGCCATCGCACACTTGTTGTCCTCGAATGGCAAGAAGGGCGCTGAAACATGTAGCCGTCGACATGATTTCGATTCACTGGGACCCCCGCATGGGAGTCAAAAACGTTGTCTGCGGTCCACTTGATGCGGTCGAGACATGACGACGTTCTTCCTAGCAGGTCATGTCACCTGCTGCGGTAGCGCAGTGTTCACGTCTGGCCTTTGAGTGTGCACGGAGTCTCGCACTTCATTGGCGAAAGCGTCGTTTGTGGGCAACCCTTCTGAAAGTGAGCACAGCACCTGTGCATCGCAGTCGTGTCTCTCTGAAGTGCGGCAAGAGAGCACCCTATGAAAACAGTGAAGCAGAGACACCAGTCTGACTTGTCATCGGTCCAGGAATCCTCCTTAGGCAGTTAAAGTGACCGGACGATTGCCAGCCGTGGGACACCTCTGCCATTCAGGCTGCTAGGTCTCGGCTGCCCTGGAATCGGACAGCTCACAAGTCACAAATCACTTTCCAAGGCCCAAGGCACTTCCCCAGTGCAGTGGTACTTGACGCAGCCCTTCTGCTCATGCGAGCAGCACCAATCCTTCTTGGAGTCCGACCACCCTTGCATCCAGTTGGAGAAGCCAGCATCGCAGTCATAGATGTGCTCGTGATGCTCGTGATGCTCGTGCGCGTGGCCAACGTGGTGCCCTATGTGAGTGTTCAGGTGGTAGCTGCCATGCCAGCTGCCGGGGCAGCCGCGAGACTCGAAATGGCAGCAGTATGCCTTCTTGTCTTGTGACCAGCCGAAATACCAGTTCGAGTAACCGGCATGGCAATTGTACTGCCGTGGATGGTAGACGACTTGCGGATGGTAACCTACATGAGATACGTGTGAGCATGCCCGACCGTACAGGTCACAACAAATGGCCTGCTTGTCTTTGTCCCATTGCTCCTCAAAGTTCAAATATCCGGTGTCGCAGTCTATGTCATCTTGCGCAGACCCAGTGCTCAAATCGTCTGCTGCTGCACGGTGCATGTGCAGGAGGTAGTACAAACAGTAGCCTCAAATTCAACAGATGACATGCCTCACGGCTCAGGTTTTTGATTGTCGAGCTTTCTTCGCAGCCACGGAGCCGAGGGCCGACAAAAGCAGCAGCGCCAGCAAGCAGAGGCAGCACTGGCGCGGGCGATAAGCGAAGTATCGTCGACTGACGACTTCTTTCTCCCAGCCACCTTAGGAGAAAAACAAACACAGTGCAGTCTGCAAATTCCTCCGTCAGGACGTCCCACCCGAACTCCAGCAACCTATGGGGTGCAGCAGGGCTCATGAACCTCTTCTAGGTGACAGGTCCGAAGGCTCTGAGACCGGAGACTTGAGAATAACACCTTCCTCCAGATGCGGCTCCTAAACCAGGACAAGAAGTGAGTGAACCCGTGAACCCCACTTTGCGAGACTCAACGCAGATTTCTTTCCAGGCGTCCCTTTTCGAATTCCTTGTAGGAGGTGGCAGCATAGGAGCCCTGCCCCTCGCCTTTCCACACCATCTGGTAATTCTCCTCTAGGGTGCTGGGGTCACCTGAGACTACTCACAGGATGTGGATAGGTTCAGGCACTCGGACGGTTCAGAACGTCTTTCGACCCGGGCCTTCGCAGAAGAGGTCGAAGCATCCGAGCTGGTTCCCGTTGGGGACGGCCGGGACGCCGGTGACTTCGCGGCTCCGGGTCCGAGCATCCCCCATTTGGGCCCACGGCCTTGGGCCCTTTGGCCTTTTTGGATCGATCCGGGCCGTGGGGCCCACAGAGCCCTGAGCCGAACCGGCTCGCTCGGACTCACGGACTCCTCTCCCTCTACACCCTTGCTTCCCAAGTGCCGGCTAAGTACACCGAAATACCAAACTGCACAGAAGAACTCCTCAGGGAACGATCAATGGGAGCAAAGACGCTGGACATCAACATGACAAAATGACAAAACGATCAACTTGCAGATGGTGCGGTCAGCACCTGGGACCGGGGCAATGCTAATACATCAGCAAAGCGTGGGCAAACGGAGGAATGTATCCGTGGGGCCCGCGGGATGTCCTAATGAACGGACAAGCTGACTTCAAAGCTACCAGGACAAGATGCAGAGTCAAGAGAGACAAGATAGAAATTCCACAAACCCCATCCGATACCCCCCTAGCAGGAAATAGTAGAAGAAGAAATGATAATAGGGCAAGAGGGGAATATCAAAAAAAATCGAGGTATAAAACAGAGATCCTATTCGATTAGCCAAATAAATGCCTTAACATTAATCAGTATTTCGAAAATATATAAAAAAAATAGAATACATATATCAAGACAATCAAAAATAGCATGTGCTTCATCTAATGAAATCAAGAAAAAGAATTCTTAAAAAAATAACAAAATCCTACGGAAAAACAAAACAATAAAAAAACATAAATATTAAATCCAATTTTGAAGAAGAAAAACCAACGACCACTATATATATATATATATATATATATCAGTTACTACGATCGCAGACGCTCGGTACCCTCACTGAACAGACGAGGGGCGCTCGCTCCTTTTTCATGCGACCGCAACGTGGGAGTCGGCCACAAGTCCGATCATCGAAACTTCACTTGATCTTCACAAGTCCGATCGGACCCCCGATCGCCGGGGGGGTGCGCCATGGCATTCACCACGGGCCGCAACATCATCCGATCGGACACATCAGACAAGCGATATTCCCCGCGAACAAAATTAAAAGTCTTCGATCGGATCATCTGGCTCGGGCGAGGGCTCTTCGATCGGGTCTTCATCGAGAGGAGCCGCGCCAAGCAAGTCGATCAGTTGTCGCTCGGCCGCCCGAAAGGCCTCAGAGGGAGTAGCCTTGGCTTTAGCACGAGCAGGAGCCGCCCGACCAGTTCGGTACGCCGCGATCTGGGCGGGACTGGGCGGCGCCTTAGTCGGCGGAGTCGAACTTCTCGTAGGCACCAGGATCTCGGTACCGGGAGGGAGCTCCGCATTGGGCGGCAAAAGATCTAGCCTCCGCGGTGACTGCCCCGGAGCCACGTAGTGAACAGGACCGGCGACCCGCACATCAGGCGGTATCTCGTCGAGCGGCCTAGGAGGCTGTCCTGGCACTACGTACTGAGCAGGCTCGGCGAACATAGCAGGCCGGCCCGCCGGAGCCGCTCGGCCTTGACAAGGCCGGCCACCTTCGGGATCCACATAAAAGATCGGCTGATCAAAGCCCCTATTGGGAGCAGCCTTGGCCGGTGGAGCACCGGCCGCTGAACAGAGGGCACCCCGGCAAACTGATCCCAGTTGAGGGGAGGATCCGCCCCGTGATCGTAGCCGGCCGGCTGGTGACGATCGCGATCACGATGAGCCGGCGGCGTCACCCAGGGGATCCCTCTGCAGAAATGGCACATATCAAAGCGGCGATCGCAAGCCGTGCACAAAGGAGTGAGTTGATTGGGAGCCCACTCTTCGCGGGGGACCCGAACGGCTGCGTAACATTCTTCGCCGTCCCCGTCGCAGAAGCAGCCGGTGAACAGACCGCAATCCACGCAGGGACGGCAGAGCTGCTCGTGCGTGCCAAAAGCGAGCGCTTGAAGGCCGACGTCACTGCCCCGCATACCGAAAGGAAGATAGGGTGGAGAGGGTGGGATTTTTCGGTATGGCCCGATCGGCTATCGCCAAAATGGCCACGGGAAAACATGATCACGTCTGTTCCAACGATCGCGAAACTGATCTCCTAATTCCTACCCACCAGACCGATAATTAGGAGACCAGTTACTACGATCGCAGACGCTCGGTACCCTCACTGAACAGACGAGGGGCGGTCGCTCCTTTTTCATGCGACCGCAACGTGGGAGTCGGCCACAAGTCCGATCATCGAAACTTCACTTGATCTTCACAAGTCCGACCGGACCCCCGATAGCCGGGGGGTGCGCCATGGCATTCACCACGGGCCGCAACATCATCCGATCGGACACATCAGACAAGCGATATTCCCAGGCCCTCAAACTCCTTTCGGAAAGTCCGAGGGGACGGTGATCCAACCGCAAAGCAGACCTGTAGCGACATCACCACGAGAGGGATTATCCTTTTTTTTCATTCACACGCTTTAGTTGAGTCGACTATTCAGCGGGCGCTACGTACCCGTATCAGCGAATGGATACAGGAACGGCCTTTTCAGGCACGCCGGACTACTACGATGCCGCTTCCCAGGGCGGCAGGCCGACTATTGCGGCCATGAAAAGAGAGCTAAGTACCACGTCCTCTGATCTCATTTAGGTCAGTAGAGTTAGCTACGACAGTCGGAGTGTCATCGTTCTGTACATGGAGGGCCGGATGGGCGGCGTCCTCGGCAAGGCTCCTTTGGAGCTCACTGTAGAAGGCAGCAGTCGGCTCCCCCGTGGGGGCCGAAACACCCATTGAGCGATAATGGCCTGAGTCCGGAGTGCATCCGATGTGATACACTACCGAGTTGAGCACATAGGTGCAGGGCTCTGTGTGAACACCATCGGTGAATGTGGGCACTTGCAGCCGTGGTGAGAGGTTAACTCTGTGTTGCAGTTTCCCGACTTCGCCTCTGAGGTCCCTACTGAATCGCATAAGCTGAATGCTCAGGATCGGTGGGGGTCTGACGAGTGCCGTAACCTCTCCCGTGTCTTGCTCATAGGTCCAGTCCTCAATGAGCTGCTGAAGAGTTTTGTTGGGCTGGCATGGTAATGTGATGAGTGGCACAGGGCTCATTCGCTGATGAGCATGAAGAAGGGGCCCCTCCGTAGTTCGGGCTTCCCATGAGCCATGTATGCCTGGCAGGCGTGCATGATCAGTGAGGAATGTGAAGAATTCAGCCACGTCGTGTTGCTGATGCATTCGGGGCCACGTCCTGAGTAAATCAAGCCACGCCTCCCTCCGATAGAGCTGAACCGATCCATTCGGATTGAGAAGGGGTCTCAGTAGCTGATGAAGATCCCCAAAGTGAGAATTGCGATCTGAGACCCGAGCAGTGTAGATCCACATGAGTGCCTGTACAAGCGAATTGAGGTAGCATAGGTTATGTGGGTTGGCAAGAACAAGCAATGGAGGCGGTTCCAGAGCAATGTGAGCAGCGACTAACGGATTGTTTGCAGCCCTCGATGATGCAGCTGCTGATGTCCCCGAGTTCTCAAGCCATTGCTTGAGTGTCCCCTTGTTCCCTGTGTTAGGGATATCCCCTTGCTGATATGTCAGCTTCCCCTTTTGGGGGCCGAATTTCGGCTTCCCTTGATGGCTTTCTGCCTTCTGACCTCTTCTGTCATTGCGTTGCAGGTCTTCAGGTAGTACACCTGCCGGCAGGGCTTCGAGCTGTTTCAGCTTCCCCCTGCTGAAAATGGTTTGTTTCGAGGCCGATGTTGGCTCCCCTTCCTCCCTGGTATCCTCCGGGGCCGGCGGCGGCTGCCCCTTTTTCTGAATTTTCTTCATTGATCTGTCTTCAGAAGCTGCAGGAGCTCCTTTGGTAGCGGTCGATGGCTTCGCTCCGGGCGCAGCCTGACACCAATGAGCCGCAGCACTGAGTTTTCGGTCATGGCGGTCAGGGCTTCCCGGATGTTCGCCGTGTCTGGGGCCTCCTGAGAGATGGTCAGCTTGAACATTTTGACCTTGCTCGGTTCCGACTTCTCCTCCGGGAGACCGCCCATTGCGAAGAATGAGTGCATCGTGCCTTCTTTTACCATCAACGGCTTTAGTTCTTGTATGAAGGTCAGGGCCCGCTCGTGTGCCACGGGCTCCCTGTCGGCGGGCACTTGTGTTTGCTTCTCTGCGTCCCACTTGGTGTACGACCATCGTAGTGGGTTGGCTGCTAAGAGCCCTGTCGCAATCAACTTGGATTGCGCCTCTTTGTCCGTGCTCAGCTTCCCCATTCTGGCTTCCATCTCCATCAACAATGCGCTCATCAGGGCTTGACGGAGGCGCAGTCGCACGTGCCCTGTGCTCGGCTCTTCCTCCATGTTTGGGTCGTCTTGAGCAGTTGTTGAGTGATCCCCAGTTCCCCTGCGTCCATGAATAAGATCCAAAAGCGATCTGCTTCCAGAAGCTGCAAGGCTGTCTCGTGTCGCGCCATGATCTTTGCAAGGGCCAGTATCTGCGCATTCGGGGGCGACCGCACTGGAGGGGCCGACTTCGGCTCCCTGTCGCGGGTTCTTTTTTGTTGGTCGGGCCTTCCCGCCCCCTTGCCGTTCAGTCTCTGCGCTTTGGCTCTGGGTGTGGTATAACCAGTTCCTCGTCTTCGAAGAGGTCCTCGTTCATTCGCTCCATTCTCTCCATGGGGGAGTTGGCCCCCCACATGGCCGCTACCTGTGCAAGGGCCTGCCATGGCTCTGCAAGACTCTAAGCTGAAGGAGAGGGAGGCACTTACCTGCATGAACCTTCGGAGTTTTGGTATAAGTATCCCTGCAAAACTTGCAAGGTCTGGAGAGGACGGTGACGATCCTGTAGCTGAGGGGCGCACCATATGTCCTGATGGGTCTTGGCCATGTGCCGTCTCCAGTCCTGTTGATTAGTGACGGGGGTGGCACAAAATCCGCAGTGTCTTTCAAGGAATTGCAGTAGCGGCCTGTCGGCTTCCCCAGCGGGGGCTGTGGTATCCTGAAGCAAGTCGCGTACTTTTTCTGGAGTGAAATGCTGAGGGGAGATGGTGGGTTGGGTGGAGGTTTCTGGTTGGCCCGCCTGGCACCAGGCGCTGGCCAGTGGGCCAGTGCTACCT